CCTAATAATTAGTCCTGTTTATTTGGGATGTAACTTTACACTCAGCTAATGACACAATACTGGGTTAATTATTCTGTATTCTCACAATGTTTGAAACAATTTGAAGAAAAAATAAGAGGACACCGATTGGCTACTTAATTTAGTTTACCTCCATGTTTCTACACTTATTGTACATTTTATCAGCTCCACTTACCATATAGGTGCACTTTGTAGTTCTACAATTACAGACTGTAGTCCATCTGTTTCTCTGCATACTTTTCCCCCCTTTTACCCTGTCCTTCAATGGCCAGGACCACCACAGAGCAGGTATTATTTGGGTAGTGGATCATACTTAGCTTGATCACAGTGACACTGACGTAGTGGTGGTGTGTTAGTGTGTGTTGAGCTGCTACAAGTGGATCAGACCCAGTAGTGCTGCTGGAGTTTTTAAACACTTCAGTGTCACTGCTGGACAGAGGAACAGTCCACCAACCAAACATATCCAACCAACAGCGTCCTGTGGGCAGCATCCTGTGACCACTAATAAAGGGCTAGAAGATGAGTAACACAAACTGTGCAGCAACAGATGAGTTACTGCCTTTGACCATACGTCTACAAGGTGGACCAACAAGGTAAGTGTGTGGACAGTGGGTAGAGTGTTTAAAAACTCCAGCAGCACTGCTGTGTCTGATCCACTTGTATAGCAGCACTTACACACCACCACCACGTCAGTGTTACTGCAGTGCTGAGAATGATCCACCACCTGCTCTGTGGTGGGTCCTGATTTTTGAAGAACAGGGTAAAAGGAGGAACAGACAGACTTCAATCTGTAATGGCAGAACTACAAAGTGCGCCTATATGGTAAATGGACCTGATGAAATTGTTAATGATTGCAGATACAAGCAGCTGTGCTTAATGAAGTGGCCGTTCAGTGTATAATCATGTTGCTGCACAACTTACTACTGACACTAGGGTTGGGAGGAAGGAGGAGTGATGGAGTGAACTGTTGGTGCAATTGCATTAGATGGCATAATTAATAGAATGTCCACTTTCCATGATGCACACTGTGACATCTTCCTGAATGGGCCAATTCAGGCACTTTAAACCTGACATTTTAAACCGACTAATTAGGGATACCCCAATATGGGAATTTGGGTTGATATCCGCTATTTTTCATGTTAATATCTGCTGATACTTATGCTGATACATAAACATTAATAAAACAGACATTAGGATGTCTAGAGGCATTAGCATTAAAGGAGAATAAATAACACGTACTAAAGAAAAAATTACTTAAATTGCAGACATTTTAGCACAGTAGCCCAGTGTCATCTAAACGTTCTGCTCTTCTGGAGATCAATAAGTACATCAGATATCAGTTTTAAATATTGGTCAAATCTGGACATCTGTCTGATGCAAATCATTTTTTAAGACAATTATCAGCAGATAATGATATGATTCCAATATTATTTTCCATCCTGACTAATTACGCTCTTTTTGTAATGAAACAAAGTTGGTTAGTGTTGCTTTAAGTACTGACAATATTCACAATATGCTCAGAACTGAGGATTGTGACATAATCTATGACAATAATGATAAATATCTTCATAATGCCCAAACCTACTTCAAATCAAGAAAGACCCATATTTCCCAAATGAAAAAATTACATCATAGTGCTGGATGGTGTTGGTAAAATTCAGTATCAATATCTTCCAGATTTATCTGGGTATCATGATATCAGATGCTATTTGAGTTAGCATTAATAAAGTCATTTAACTCATGCATTATTAAATTAATAAGTTAGCATTAAGAAAGTGAATTACTGTGCTTGCACCCTATGCTTAAAAATGCCATAAAACCTGACACAGCTTGGATTATTTTGTTCTGTTTTCTTCTCTTAAAGTGACAGCAAAGGGAACCTTGCGTAGTATTGTAAACATTAACCAGACAGAAACCACCTTTACAGAAAAGAAACTCACTATTTAGCTTTTATGTATCTGAACTGTTTAAAACACCCAGCAATTAACTGTCAGGTTGTTGATAAAACACTAGAAACAAACCTCTTGGGTGCAGAGACACTGCTATTTATAGTCATTGTCATGGATGTAATGCACATTAGGTACCAAAATATAAAAATATAAAATCATATCTAAATATAAAACCATCTAAGATATTGCTAAAACCAAAAACGCAGTATTACAGTGTCTTAATATCATGTCATACTCATTGGGGATAGTCTGGCATATTCAGCTTTAAGCACAAAAAGACTGTAAGGTTGAGGTGGTGTCACAGGGGTGGGCCTGTGTGCATTCAGACGTGAGCATAAACAGAACAAAGCTGTCTCTAGAGCAGGCTTAAGAACAGCAGAATGTGTGCTGGGGTCAGAGTCCAGAGCAGAGGATTAACTCTGCAGAGCATTTACTAGCATAGGCATGGCGTGGCACTTCTCAACCAGCTTACCGTACGACCGCTTTACTGGGAAATGAGGCCTCATACAAACACGGAAAGGGAGTGATCTGATTCAGATTTTACTCTGGAGTACTGTACATGCACAGTATAATGCATTCTTTACAGTGGAGATTTAAACACAATCTACATAACTGCTGTTAGAAAGATTACAATTCTGAGAAACAACCTGCTTACTAAGAATGCTATAAAGAGCAAGTACACTACCTTGCATAAGTCAGAGACCACCTTTGAACTCCAACTGTGTTAGACCTGGTAGATCACCAAAAGTGTCACCATCAGATGATCAGTACTTTCATCTTTGAGAGAAAAGAGAAAGTTCCACTTTTGCTTCAAAATATGAAAAAATCCACAGGCATTTCTGTCCATGCTTTCATTGTAAGAAGACAACTCAACATTATGAGTCTGAAAGGATGTGTAACTGTCAAGAAGTCGTTACTGAGAAAAGAACAACAAAGAAGCTACTTGTGTTCTCAGAGTGGACTGGAATGGAATGGACTGCCCACCCCAGAACCCTCAACCTCATTGAATGTGTTTAAGATTGTGTGGATCATGAGAAGACTGAGAAGATAAAACTGAACTTTGGAGGTGGGGAATCCGTGCCAATTTGTCTGAAAGCAAGTCTCCTGAAAAGAATGGAAGCTGTAACAAGGGCAAAGGGTGGACACACTAAATACTAGAAAACTTCTGTTAAATAAATGTTTTCTGTTTTTTTTCTCTGGCACTAAAAAATTAATACTTTGTACTTAATGGCCATTTTGACTGGAAATTAAATGAATTGCACATTGCTTTATTACAGCCAGGAACAAGATGGTTACCGTTTTTAAGGATGTATTGTGGTATAAAACTCAGTCGTATCGCTTTTCATGATAATAACAACAATAATATTAATAAGAATAATAATAATAGTAAATAAACTAATGCTACTGTCTCCCTGCAAAATACTGACCAAGATAACATATTTACATTGTTAGAATATGAACAGTAAACAGTAGTAGTGTTGGTAAATTTCATAATGTTAGAGGTTCAACAAGTCCATCAATATAAGAACTGTGGTGAAACAAATTTAATGTGTAATAGTGTTTTTAAAACCTTTTCAGTTTTCAGTTTCAGTTCATATTTTACCCACACTGTGATAATATTGAGAACTGTGATAATTTTGGTCTCTGATATTTTTTGTACCATCTCTAATTAGGGCACAAATAAGAAGTAGCATGCTTACTACAGCATGCCTGCTTTTACTGAGGCAGTGCTCAGGGCTTCTGTATCTCATCACCTCCCTGTACACTGAACCTGGCCAAGCCTGAGCAAAACGGCTGTATCACATTACGCACCCATCAGTACACCGAACTAAACAAACCGGCAGGTAAAAATAGCCCCCGCAACTGCCTTTTCCCCAGTGTTACCTTCAAACACAGAGCACAGGCCAATAGCAGCTCACACACACTGTCCTTGTATCAACAAAGACAGGTGCCAACAAGCTGAGCCTCACTGCCAAAGCCAATCCCATTACTTACAGTGATGAAGCACTGCTGATAAATAGGCAAACGATAGGGTGAACATATACACTACTTTTGAGGAACTGGGGTATATTTGTTAGGTTATCTGCATCTGTGCTAAGAATTGGTCAGATGAGTGTGGCTGCAGAGGAGACTGGAGGGAAGGGTGAGGCTAAGGGAGCACAGGGTGAAGATGCTGAGTCACTGTTTCAGGAAGAACATACTATGTGCAAGGCAAGGGCTGATTTTAGTGAGGAAGCTTGTTCTGCTCCAGCTCAATGTAATCTCACATCAACTAAACTGACCTAAATCTGAACTGTGATTAGAAAATCAGTTTATGCCATCCACCAGCCAGTGTCCGTTTCTAAATTTGGATATTTTATCCCCTTCTACTGCCAGGACTTACATGTGGGCCCACAGTTCAAGCACATTGTACTATGTAACTTTAATTTCACTAGTAACTAGTAACACCAGTTTCATAGTAGTTACAGCATAATTCACACTGGCTACTGAATAGGCCTGCAAGGCGTTAAAAAAGGTAAAAGTGCCATTTAATGCAATCTAACATGAAACCAATTTCCTCAACCTATTTTACAACATGCTAAAGTAAGGAGAAATTTGCATTAGATGACTGAAAACATGCAGATCATACAAAAAGCCAACACAAAGCACATAAAGATTATAAACATCAGATCCAGGCTGTGGATAAAACTGCTTCTCTAGGGTTTTAAAAAAGCCAGAATAATCCGTGCAGCAGCGCTATTCGGATAAACAGCATCAACAGAAAGCAAAGCAGGTGCTACACTGGCCCATGTTTAACAAGGGGACTGTAGAAGCCTAAATCAGCATACAGACAGGATACATTTAACCCTTTAACCACTTGAACCCTATGCTTATTACTCAGATATTAATCTTAAGACTTTATATTCACTAACTACTATGGAACAACTATGTAAGTGGTACAGTTATGAGTAAGGAACTGAAATGTAGGCCCTACATATGGGCCATAAAAGATTAAGGGGTTAAATGTGGACAGTGTGTGCAATAAGTACTCACGCTGCAGTGTGTTCTCCAGCTCCGAGCCGGCCTGCAGAAGACTGTAGTAGCCCTCCATGTCTTTCTGGGGCTGGTGAGGAGAGGCCGGGCCCATGCCCTGGCCGAAAGCAGGAGATAATGCCTCAAAGCAGGGCCTGCCCGGCCCTCACATCCTCCACTTCTCTGGTGCTGCTCCCCAAAAGCAGAAAGAAGGTGCACTTCACTATGGCTGTCTCAGGACTCCTCTTGTACCACTGAGGTCTGGGTTCCGGGTCACGTTGAACAGGGCAAAGTGAAGTCTGCAAAGTCCAGCATCCCACCACTGCCGTCCTGTGACAGTGCCGTCCAGGAAACAGCAAGCCCACACTGCCGTGGCTAAGAGAAGTGATGCAATGGAGGCTGCTTCACCTTATACTATGCATACACACATAAGGGAGGGGTAGAGAGGAGGAGGCTGTCAGGATGTTGTCCCATCCAAACTGCAAAGACTTGTCCTCAACATAAACCGAACCAAACCATAACAGTCCCCTCCCTCTGCCTAAAAACATCTCTCTCCCTCTCCGGCTGGGCGAGAGTGCGTCAGTGCTGCAGCTCAGTGGGAGGCTCAAGCTGCTGGCACTCGGCCAAACTACAGAGTTTCTCCAAGCACCTCCCCCTCTTCTGCCCTCTGCTCGCTCTCCATTGGTTAGCCTGGCCCAGAGGCAGTGGCACTGCTGCCTCTGGCTTCCGCATGCTGCCCAAGACCCACCCTGATATTGTCTCATGCATTCACGTGCAGTTTAAACATGATTAAGGGAATCAAAACATTTTTTTCTTTTCTCAGAATAGTGAATAAGCATATAAATCAAACTTACATACACATATGTTTCAGCTGTGCAAGCATATGCCTAGCACAGCCTGTAGTTTTATTATAGATTAACTACTTTAAGGAGAATTTCCATTCAACTTTTCCATTTAAATTCTGTGCAATTACATGGTTAAGATGTAAACAAAGTAATTAAGAGTAAATTGATGTGAATTGCTTCATTCTACAAAAACGTATTGTTCACAGTGTTGGCAATAGGAGCCAGACATCTGAAGCATTTATTGCAAACTACATCACAAAATGTAGTGAAATAGTTATGAATACACAGCATGACACTTTTAAAAAATAATTAATGAATTCATGCACTGTAAGGCAAAATAGTACCCAAAGAAAACCATTTTTTTTTTAAGATTTCTTACTATTATTACTATTCACAGGTCCTTTGGCATAGTTAATGAAATGGCTACATTCACAACAAGTAGGCAAGTTTCTCCACAATGCACTATTTCACTGCAAGCCACATTGAATGATTTTGTTTATGTCTCAGTGACTGAATTAAACACATTTTGAAAAATCTGTGAAATTTCCTTTTAGGGATTAATTATTAACATGAACCTCTGAAATACACTCACCAGCCACTTTATTAGGAACATCTGTGCACCTGCCTAATAAGTGTCAAATCAGCCAATTATCTGGCAGCAGTGCAATGTACATAACCATGCATGGGTCAAGAGCTTTGGCTTTGTTCATGTCAAACATCAGAACAGTGATCTAAGTGACTCTGACTATGGCATGCTTGTTGGTGCCAGATGTGGAGGTTTGAGTATTTCAGAAAATGCTAATTTCCTGAGATTTTCATACACAAGCGTTTCTAGAGTTCACAAAGAATGATGTGAAACATTAAAACAACCAGTGAGGGGCAGTTTGGTGGACACAAATGCCTGGTTGATGAGAGAGATCAGATGACAATGGCCAGATTTGCTTAAGCTGACAGAAAGGCTTAACTTGACTAATTGCTAATTACAACAGCAATGATTACAAAAGCATCTCTGATCACATAACATGCCAAATGTTAAGGTGGATGGTCTACACCACTTCTGGCACCTGAAATAATGGGTCTATACAGTGGGCATAGACCCACTGACACTGTATAGTTCCTCTAAGACAGAAATGTCAGCGGGTTTGATGGCTCTTTATTTCTGCTGGGACATGCAGACAGTAGTTAGAATTCAGAACAGCATGAATCCATGGACCCAACATGCCTTGTGTCCACAGTTCAAGTTGGCAGTGGTGATGTAATGCTTTCTCCACCCTAATACCAAGAGAGCATCATTTGAATGCCACAGCCTATTTGAGTATTGATGCAGTCCACGTGCATCTCTTCATAGCTGGAATTTACCCATCTTCTAATGGCTACTTTCAGCATGATAACGCATCTTTTTACAAAGCACAAGTCATTTAAAACTGGTTCTGTGAACATAACAATGTGTTCAATGTGTACTTCAATGGCCTCCCCAGTCACTTATTCTGAATGCAATGGAGCACCTTTGGGATGGGGTAGATTAAGGAATAATTGCCTAATATAGTGGCCTTTGAGTGTATATTTGCTCGATACCTCAAAGAAATCTAATCAATGTCCCGTCTAAAGTGAAATCACCCATCTGAAGGTTTTCAGCCTATTATACAGTCATGTGAAAAAAGAGGACACCCCATTAAATATTCAGTTCTTTATTAAGAAATGTTCACATGTCGATATGTTAGAAAGTAAGTAATTTAATTGCAGGTAAACAACAAAAATTAACCTTGTTTTACTCACTAAACAAAAAATATTAACAAAAATGCGTATTCTAACTGAGGAAGGAGTTAGGACACTCTACCCCCTAATAGCTAGTGTTATCCCCTTGGCTGAAATAACTTCAGTGAGACGCTTCTTGTAGCCATCTACCAGTCTCTGACATCGGTCTGAGGAAAGTGTGCCCCACTCCTCAACGCAGAATTCTTTCAGCTATGAGATGTTTGAGGGGTTTCTTGCATGTACAGCCCGTTTCAAGTCACCCCACAGCATCTCGATGGGATTAAGATCTGGGCTTTGACTCGGCCATTCCAGGACACTCCATTTCTTAGTTTTCAGCCACTGGTATGTTCTGGGTCACTGTCATGTTGTAGGGTCCAGTTCTGCTTCAGCTTTAATTTTTTTACAGATGGTCTCACACGTTCCTCAAGCACCCTCTGATACACGGTAGAATTCATGGTGGATTCTATGATGGTGAGCTGGCCAGGTCCTGCTGCAGCAAAGCATCCCCAAACCATGACACTTCCACCTCCATATTTCACAGTTGGTATGTGGTTCTTTTCCTGGAATGCTGTATTTGGTTTATGCCAAACATGCCTTCTGTTATGGTGTCCAAATAATTCAATTTTAGACTCATCTGTCCAAAGAACATTATTCCAGAAGTCCTGGCCTTTGTCTATGTTCTCTTTGGCAAACTTCAGTTTGGCCCAAATGTTTCTCTTAGAGAGCAAAGGTTTCCTCCTTACACACCTCCCATGAAAGTTAAATTTGTGCAGTCTCTTTCTGATTGTAGAGGCATGCACTTTCACATCAACAGTAGCCTGCTGCAGGTCCCGTGATGACATTTTAGGGTTTTTTGAGCATCTTTTAGCATCTTGCGGTCTGCTCTCAAGGTTAACTTGCTCGGACGGCCAGACCTGGGCATGTTGGCAGTTGTTTTGAATGTCCTCCACTTGTAGACTATTTTCCAGACAGTGCAACAGCTGATTTCAAATTCTTTTGAGATCTTTTTAAATCCCTTACTAGACTCATAAGCTGCTACAATCTTCTTTCTGTTGGCCTCAGACAGCTCTTTCGATCTCACCCTGGTGTTCACTCTCACTTCAACAGTCAGGAGCACACCAAACTAAATGTCTGAGGTTTAAATAAGGCAAGCCTCCTTCAAAATGCTGAGTAACGATGTTCTAATCATGTGCACCTGATGTGACACAACTGTGTGTGATTTTAGCCATTTTAAGTGGGAATAAATGTGGGGGTGTCCTAATTTATTCCTCACCAGAAATCGCATTTTTTTAAATTAAAGTCTTTTTTTTCAGTTCTAATTGTTTAGTTATATTACATGAATCTCTCAGTATTGTTAAAATTGATATTTTATTTCCACATGTCCAAATATGTTAAAACTTTCATAGGGTGTCCTAATTTTCTCACATGACTGTATAAGAAAAAAACAGCCAGCTTATTTTTATGAGGTCATTTTGATAAATGACCATGGTACATTGTGAAAAAGTAATTAGCTAAAGTAAAATTACCTTTAACTTTAGCATTTAAAATAAACCACTTGGAAATGCAGGAAAATTACTTCAGTTCATTGTAACTGAGTTAGGGCTGCCACAATTTCTCAATTAAAATTGATTACTTAGCTTAAAAAAAGAAGAATCAGCTTAGCATTTAGTTAGCAATGTGAATGATTAACAAGGTATCCACAGGTCATTATAAAACAATGTTTAACTGTCTGAACATTCTCCACAAGAGCAGCTATGAGCACTTAAATCCCATTTGTGAGCATTACAGAAAAAGAGAAAATCCACACCAGCAGGATTTCATGAATGAACATGTATATTAAGTAAAGGGGTATATTAAGTTAAAGTAGGTCTAAGCTGGACAGCTTAGCAGACAGCTAACAGGCTAACAGGCAACTCCAGTAATATTCAGTTAGGCTTTACTGACAGATTCATTGTAAAACTGAAACATACAAACTAAAGAACATGCCACTTTTAATGTCTGTGGCAGCTCTAAACGGAGCCAAACACTGTTGCTTCAAAACTACAGCACAGCATGTGCTCCACTCACCTACACCAAGAACAAATCTTTATTCCATTTTTTTTCCATAATGTGTAAATGACAGCTAGGATTTTCAATGTGCCAAAATTGCATCAATAAACAGACCAATAAAAATCATCCAAAATGCAGAATAAAATGTTGTTACATTAATTTGCAGTGCAAGTGAACAATGTTTTTTCCTTCTCCAAGGACCAAGCAAAACCCAGACAACAAGCTCTTTGTTTGAAAATTGTTTTATTACATAAAGAATTTTTTTTTGTTTTGGAACAGACTGGTCTTAAAGAGGTACATTCAGGTCAGAAGGCCGGAGCCTGAGGATCCGGACAGAGGGTCCTGACACAGGCCGAGTGTTCACAGCACCGCCTTGACACTGCCCCACTCTCCACACTCAGGCAGCCTAATGCACCTTTTTTTTTGGACGTTTTCATTTTCTTACAAAACAGTGGCTCGAAAAAAGGTTGCAGTAAAAATACAATCAACTTTTTTTCTTTTCTGTGTTTTTCAGGCAAACAGGAGAATTCAAGAATTACCATAAGCTTTGAAAATAGCATCTCTGATGTAATTTAAAGGTCTGTTTTGGGTATTGAAATACTGCAGGCAGGTCCCATTCACCCCTCCCCTTTCTGAGCTGAACACACACTTCAGCGCCTCGGGCTATATGCATATGTGTGCATGTGCACCATGGCTCAGGTTAATGATGGCGTTACCACGCTTCAGCACAACAACAACAACAAAAAAAACTAGAGGGTTGGATAATATCCATACAGTTGGGTAATCTATCCCAGACAATTCTCAATAAATCTTTTACAGAGATAAATAAAAATACAATGTAGCTTTTATCTATATTCTCATCTGAAAATAATGTTTTATGATAGAATTCGAGAGTGCTCATAGGGAAACAGCGTAGGGCTTAAGATGCTTGGCATCATTACACAGTCAAAGGTCTAACACACCGCTGCTCCCACAGCTACCCACACACAAACACACACAGCCCATGTGGTTTAAGCTGGAACAGAGCACAATGCCTTTCAGATCCAAATGGTTTTAAAAGACATTTAACCATTCAAAAAACATGCCAAAATCTGGTTTCTTCATGCCCACTTTTGGCTAGTAGCGTATAAATAAACTGAAATGGTCAAATAGCATTCATTAAAGGGATTATTACTGAGATCAGACAGCATGCACCATTCCAGCCTTAAACCAGCTGAGTGGCATGTGAAATAGTGATCTAAGAGCAGTTCAGGCCCTCAGTGGGAGCAGGTTCGATCGCCGAGCATCTGGGATTACATAGACAAAACTCAATTGGCACGAGCTGATCATTCTCAACAATAAAAAAGATCCATGTCATAAAAATATAACTTTTGTGACTAAAATTACACATTACAATAAATATGTCAAATAGAATCACTCAGTTGAAAACAAAGACAAACATCAGTAATGATCTAGAAAGTGATTGAAATGTTGGCATGTAGAAATGGAATGTATGAAGAAGCATAAAGAAGGAAAGAAAGAAGGGGGTAAAGACGAACGCTATTCTAACCGCAGTACCAACCATGTTGGTATTAACGGAGGGCAAAAATGCCTCACAGTGGCACTAACTCAGGTGTCCAGGAGATCTGGAGTTGGCACTTTGTATGTCACCACAGTCCCCCTCCCCCCACCATTTCTTTGACTCAAACAATGATACGAGCAGTTGCCTCAAAGAAGCAGTGTGCATTCTACGCGTGCTTAAGTGCATGCTGTATACATGTGCCTTCAACAGTGAGCACTGGCCCAAATGGGCTCAAAGAGGGACAAAACATCAAGCGATATAAATAATATGTGTGTAAATGCCAGTACAGAGACTAAACATATCACCACCTGTATCACAAACAGATTAATCTCAGACTCAGCAAGGTACTAACTTTCAGCGAAGGAAACCAAACTCCCGGCACGGAGCATCTCCATACAAACACATTACACTTAGCAGGACTGGATATGCTGCAAAAAAGTTTTTTTGGCTTCCAGCAAACAGCACAGAACATACACATCTAATTCATAATCACTAATCTGATGTCCGAAGTAATCCCTGCATCATCAGAAAATTACAATAATACAAAATTCTAATGTGAACTAAAGAAAAGACACTAACTCGTGGCCAGACCTTCTTCTCACGCAAACATGCACGACCGGTGAAAACGTCCAAACCCCACGCTCAACAGACTTGGACACACAGCAAGTTGCTGAAAGGCAGCTTATTATACCCATAGGGTCAGGGCTGTCAGTGCAGCATGTTATAGAGCTCAAAATTAAAAGCTCAAACTCACTAAATTCTAGACTACGATTTGGGCCTGGGGCATTTCAGATCACAAAGGGAAGAACTATTTCTGCCAAAGAAACCTGGAACGAAAACTGCTACAATGACAGAGGAACGATGGTGTTGGTATCAGCTTCTCTAGCTTCTCTCATGCAGGAGAACCACTGAGGAAAATCAGAACATCCCGTCACCATGGATTTGCCTCAGGAAGGGACATTTGCAGTGGGCTAACTGTAAGAAGGGAGGAGGTTTAAAATCACATGCCTTGACAATGGATGGGTCATGAAAAGTAAAAGGTCAAAAAATGCCACATGCTGCAAGGACCAGCGGCACAGTATGCTTGGGTGAAGTCATGCTACAGAGAGAGGGAGGGATGAAGGAGAAAGAGAGCGAGGGACATGGTGGGAAAAAAAGACAGAGGGCTGGCACACTGCTGGATCTTGGCCTGGACTAGGTAGTTTTTTTTCTTCTTCTCTTTTTCATTGCCCACCATTCAGTTAGGTTGTTCTCATTTTCTTGATTTTCCTGTCCAGGCAGCAGTAAAGACAGCCAGCTTGGCTGACACTCGAGGTCCTTTCAGCAGGTTCCACCCCAGGCTGGTCTGTGTCCTTCAGTATTGCTCGTTCAGATACTTGTAGGACAACGGGGTGACGGCAGCGATCTGTGGTGCGAATAGAAAAACCCAAAAAATTACACAGCTTGTCTATTCAAAGTCTGTGAGCTTTATCCAACAGCAACAGAGGCCCTATTTACACTTGGCGTTAAAATGCATCCTGTACCTATACGTTTAAAAGACAAGTGGAAACGTGCCTGTGAGTGCAACATGTTTGAATCTAGCTGTTCTGATACCGAGGTTGACTAATTTTGACATTCAAGTATCTGTAAATGTTTATGAACAGATATTTAGGTGACCATGGCTTACCTTTTAGCACCGGGTGTTGCATGAAAACTGAACATCACACTAATACATTTGAAAATATTTTGTATTATTTAAACATGGCCGTGGGAAATTTGTAGGTTTTCAGGTCAGATGAGTAGCATAATGGAGACTTCTTCAAATGAGCAAATGAGCTAAAACTACAGCTAACCAGTACAACACTGGATGCTGATGGAGACGCTGATGTTTCACCTACATCATCGTAGCCAACTTAGCAATTAAAGCCATGCTATATCTGACCTCTCAGTCATGTACTTAACACCATATCCTTGGCGTCACACCTAGATTAAGGCATTCGCACTTTGGAGTGGCAAAGTATAACATAACATGCTCGCAAAAACAAGCAAAACTTTAATGTTTTACAGTTCTCTTAAATATAAAATACGCATTTAACAAAATTGTTCTCTATCTTCCTATGATGAAACACAACAAATATCCTAATAAAGATTACTCCAAGGTAGTCAAACGTATGGTAAACAGATCTTCGTGGGTGTGTAAACACATTCAGCTTGGCTACTACATTCAGCAAACGCTCCTGCTTTTTCTATATTATTTCTGCCATGTGCACATAGGCTTATGAATGCAAAAGTTCAATTTGTTACTTATGTTATATGGCTACATGTTTTTGCCATATCGTCCTAACTTTAAATGCGTGGTACGCCCTACACCGCAACTGCAAAATGTTTCATAAAGGATTAAACACAGCATAGCCTGTATTAGGGCTGAACGATTTACGGAAAAAATCTAATTGCAATTTTTCTGACTAATACTGTGACTGCAATTTAAATTGTGATCATTATTAAAAATGGTTTAGGCCCTTTTTTTTGGGCAAAAAGTTCAGAATTATCCACCTTTTCTGGCTTGAGGCTTGAATGTAGTGTGCCAAACTGCAAGCAAATTGGTGGTTTGGTTACCTCTGACTGGTCTAACTTTTCTACAGGCACTACACAAGCTCTGTGTTATTAGGTTTAATTTCCACTCTTAAGACAACATTTTTGATAACGCAGATTTTAATTACCTGAAATAGGGATTTTACTTGATTTAAAATATTGCATAGTGAAATGAGATACAATCAATATCTGAACAGAGATCAAATGGTAGCGCCAAGTGTAAACAGGGCCTTAGTTATTGGCCATAAACTGAAAACGTTCTAAATATTCGTCTACTTCTAAGAAGAGTAACACTTACTTATAGATTTGAAATGTCCTTCTTCTTTCCAATTTATAGATTTAAAAAAAATTTAATAACCAATCAGATAATTGGACTAAACATAAATCAGGCACATAACCCTAAGCATGTTAGGCATAATAACACAATAAAACTTGTCAAGATAGATATTATCATTGACACAACAACAACAACAACAACAACAACAACAATAATAATAATGATAATAAATCACATGGCCCCAAAGTGTTTCAATAGCACCCCAAATCAAAGTGTTATTTAAAATGACGTGTTATTCATCCAGATTCAGCTGGTTTAGATCAGGTTACATTGAAAGTGATTGGAGCATTGCTTTGATTTCGTTAGTACAGCAGCCTATGGGGCTTAGATCAGTTCATTGGCTGAACGGGGAGGGGAGTGGATGCTCCCCATCACTTTACCTGGCTGTGTGAATGAGAGAGGCCTCTGACAGCTGAGAACAACAGAAAAGTGAGTTTAATACTGGTGCATGAGTGCAGCTCTACACCTGAATGTTGCCATTAAGCATCATCCACACATTCACAGCAGGCAAAAGGCATCAGACAACAGCCACACATATGCACAGCATGCAGGGTTCAAAGCTACAGTTAAAGGACCAACTGTTGCAACAAAAAACACTGACAAGGTCAAGGCAGGTTAAGTATTACAGGAGATTAACACACAGCACATGCCACAATGACAACACAAATAGGACAAATACTAAATGACAACACAGTCGATCACTGTCACGAGACCACGGAGAAGAGCAGCAGCAGACAAATCTGCAAAGTATATATACGCACAACACAAAACACACACCCGGACACATTTAGCCACCCACTCACCCACACACAAACACGCACACGCGTAAAGCCCTGATGATATAAAGGATTCCCCAGACCAACATGGCTGAATAGGGTTTAGTCAGTTAAATGCGGACCGAATCACAGTCAATTTCAAATAGCACATGCAAGGGCTTTACGAGATGGAATTTTCCCTAGGAGGCTGAAAGGAGCATTCTTGGTTTGCTGGCTGAAGCTGAGTTTGTTTGACATCCCACCTCTAATACCAGGCACTTGTGGCAAACCTCCAGAATATTCAGAGCTGGCTATAGTTCAGTAAGCATCTCAGTGCTTTCCAAATTACAACGATGCAATTTACAGTAAGGTGTATAATACAGACAAAATATTACATTCTGATTATAGAGGTGCACATAACAATATGCCTTAGAATACATCAAAAGTATATTAATAAATCATTTACATGACATCAAGTACTGTTCTGCATCATTTTGCCCAATTTTATTCGTATTTTTTGTGATGTGAATGCCTTGTTCAAGGGCTTATTCATATATTGCAAGCCATGGCAATATCTCAACTGCAAGGGTCAACACTGTAACAGCATTTAACAAACAATACATTGTGTAGCCCTAATTCACGAAAAATGTACGTGTGGCAGATGTATAAAAGTTACCTTAATCAAGCACAATTAAGGTTAGTTGAAGTTAGTTATCATCTTAGCTGGTTCCTGGTATGTGAAGTAGGACACATTGAAATGGCACTAATGTAACAATAACCGAAGCTATGTGTTATGACTTTTCAGCCAACCACCAAGAGCTAATCCACGGACAGGGAGAAATTAAGAGGTAGAAATTCCAGAATTTTATGGGCAGCTGTTACAGTGGGCAAAGAACCCAAGGAGCATGTTCTTGAGTTTCGGCTGTACTAAAAAGGGGAAAAGGCCCAGCAGGAACTGCGGCTTAGGAATTGAAAAAGGGCTCCGATTGGCGATTCTGGTACCTGTTCATATGACAGTATTGGATTCGTCTGAAAAGGTTCTCATGAGCAGAGGCCTGATGGAAGCCCTGGAGGATTGGCTGCCCCCTGCACTTGACTGACATTTCTTCTTCTGAAAGGGGGTGGGGTTGAAGGACAGTTAGCACACCATGGAAAAGACATTCAACCAACACAACATCCCCCCAACACACACACACACACATACACACACACACACACACACACACACACACACACACACACACACACAAAGAAGACTTCACAGCTACTCCAATAAGTTCTACTTCAAACCATGGCTGGAGAGAAATGCAAAGAAATGTGAACTACAAGGAATTAAAAGTTTAATAAGACACTGCTTGATGTTTCACTATAATCAGTCATGTGAATTACATGTGAGCACTATCATCAGTATCAGTAAAGGTACCTGACTGCACTGTGATGAATTTCAGGCATGAATTTCATGAGCTGTGATTAGGGGTGCACGACTGGAATTGCCCAGACTCTGAATCGTCAGATTTTCACTCCTCAAAGCCAATTGGCTGATTTATTTAGGTAATTTCAGCCCATTTGTGTTCAATTGTATGATGTATATAATGTGAGCCAACTAAGTACACTGACACTGCATTTATTTTTTTTATTTTTGCAGTTGCTACTTTGATTAAATAACTTGTAATTAAAGATGACATTTAATAAATAATATTAAACAATTAATAATTTAATACTGTAATAACTGAATTTTAAATTGAAAAGTAATAAACTACCCTAACGGGATATTGGTCAATCACGCTCCTCTCTTCTATAGCATTTCTTGAGCTTTTACCCGTCTTTTTGTCTGCTAGCATAATGCTAATATCAAGAAGCAGCAAGCTAATGGAAATGTAACACTGTGTTTAATATTACTTGTGACAGTTTGGCATTTGAAGCTTGTAAGATGTGACATTCTTTACTTTTCACGTTGCAGTTTATAATGAATAGTTCCATTTAAAGCTTATATCAGAACACTAGTGGAGGAACCTTTTAGCCTGTCAGCAGTTTTCTGAGTTTGTTATTAGACACAACTGCCTTTACTTACACAGTGTTTGCTATAGTTTACAGCTGTTTTCTTCATATGCAATGTGAAGTCTGGACTGTAAGCATATGTGCATTTATGCATTCTCTGCTTTTCTACACCACATGCTCAGTTAAAAACTGACCCCTACTACAAAGGTATCATGAGTCATTTGTAAAGGCTACAAGAACCATGTTATCTATTGAAATTTATGCTCCTCTGAACACTCTGTCTGAAGTGTATGCACATCCATTAGGACTGTTTCACATCAGTGTGTCTATTTAGCCTGAAAAGAGTGACCAACAGATAAAAAAGTAAATTAAATGAATTATGTTATTGTTTGTTGCCCGTTACAAAAAAAAAAAGGAAAAAAAGAAAAGAGGAGCCAATAAGTTAATTAAAATTAGCATGAAAAATAAATAAATAAAAATGGATATTTGCCAATTTGGCTGTTAAGAAATAGGAATTGAACTCAACTATACAAAAATCATGATCAGTACACCCCTAGCTGTGATGAATACATGGAAGTCAACCTACAACAGACTGTAAAATTTGCCATTTTGTCTCTCCCACTCACACACAAAAGGGAATGTGCAAAAACGCAATTACACACACACACAAACTCTCATATTTAAGACACACAAACACACACTCTTGGTGGTAGCCCACAGCAGCTGTGGTGGAGGACAGGGGGTGGCTTGGCTGAGCACGCATGCGGGTACACTGCGTTTTGCGTGCTGCATTCACCTGACTGTGCATGCAGAGACAGAGAGCAGGCAGCTGAGGAACAGGCAACTGAGATAACTCTGCAACACACACTGCAGCCTTCACAAAAACCACACACACACCAAGAGGACATCCGTCCACCACAGAAGGGCCTCGGCATGAACTGATGAAATACAGCCAAAACTGAAGACTCCTTCACAGCCTCTCCACATACAAATGAACCAACTTCGCATTACATCTCTGTTACAAATCCAACATGGACCCTCAAAGACAGCACCCCCACACACACCAAGAAAAGCTTTCCCTGCACCCTGACAGAGATATATGCACCTCCCTGAGAAAAGGGGAAAAGACAAATGGGTGGAAAGAAGGCAGGCAGAACATGAGGGAAAGAGACAGGCAGCCCAGGAGGAGAAGAGAGACGGGAACAAAATGAAAAAGAAGAGCGAGCCAAGAGACCTCAGTCACTCCAGGAAAAGCTGTGAGTGCTGGTAGTCTGCGACAGCATGAAGATAGTGGAAGTCCCAGAGGAAGGAAGCCGCCGCTTCATCTACAGCACCACACACACAGGACGGGAGAGGACAGACAGAGAAAGAGGAGCGAGACAGGAAAAGAGAGGCACAAGGAGAGAAAAGGGAAAAAGGAAGGATTAAAATGTACAGGTGGACAATATGAACATGTCGTTATTGTGATAAATTGATAATTTAATAAATCGCAACACTTTTTTATTGAGTGTACTGTGGATCTCATCTATACTTCCACACTAAATTGTACACATCATAAAAATTGTGCAATTATAGAAAACCTGTAAAAATTATATATATGCAGTAACTGCTTAAACTGCATGGTAACAAGAAAGTGAATGCATGTCAGCCCATTATGCCATTATCAGATTTTTTACATTCTGTCCATTTCATTGCAAACCTCAGAAAAAACTACATACTGTGATGCATATCATACATCATTAAACTTTTTCCCATTTCGCCCATCCTTAGTTCTTAGTTAAAGAAAAGAGTTCAAACAAGTGTTTGGAGATAAACAAATGCAGAAAAGAAACAAAGGTTGACAGTTGTCCTGCAACACCATCCTCACTCGTGATCTAAGATCTGTAAAAATATAATAAATGAAAAAACTTCTTCTTTGCGAAGTCTCGTCCAAGTCCAAGTGGGTTCTTAAAAAGTGACACCACTGTAATTTGTTCAGAGGCAAAATGAGCACAATGAAATGCAGCATGCCTTTCTAGGAAATTGTAGGAGTCAGAAAAGATTAAAGAAAGCCTGGAATGCGTACAGTAATGTAACTTGATTCTTACAAGATTCCTAAGATATTCAGGTTTAGTGGAAATAAAATCTCACACCACAAAGCCATTGTATTATATAATAATATTTTATGGTAAATTGAGCAAAGTACTGCACTTCTGAAGTTTATGCTTATTGAAAATCTGACCATTTTTTTTTAATAAAAAAGCTTTCCCAAACTATGAAACAAAGGATTATACTATATTGTCAGTCAGAAAAATTAACAAGAGTAACTACCAATTGATCAAAAGAAAACAAAAAGCCCACACACTGAAAATAACCTTACCTTAATTTTCAACATTTTTGGCATAACACAAGGATATCTAAAAAGTGCTTAGTGGCCTGTTAGGCCTTCATGAAAAATGATAAATGCATATATGCTAGAACTGATCTGATAATCTGTAAAGTGAATGAACTAAACTATAGTTTACCAAAAGTATCGTTACATTATTCTGTGAAAGGCACTTTCCTTCATTCTGTTAAAATTCTATATACAGACATAAAACAGCTTTGTTGTTTACAATTCAATTTAGTGATGACAGGTTATTAAATAATGTCTGAATTATGTAATTAATATTGGGCCACAGATGCCTCTTCCCAACAGTTGGCAATTTTAATTGACAGGCAGCATGCCTGGAGACGCATGTAGGGGAGCAGATCAGCTCCGTATGTTCATCAACACAGGGCAAGCCGCTTAACAAATGTCAATTATGAAAGAGCCTTGCATGTTATCCATAGTCCATGTGGCAAACCAAGTTCAAGTGGATTGATGGATCTAATTATTACAAACTGATGCTGATTACAGGGTAGCCCACTCTGTCCGGTCAGATGGCTAGTGACAATAGTATTGGCTGATGCTGTATTGTAGGTTTAAATAATGGCATAGAAAGACTTTTAATTAGTGGTACACAAGTAGATAAGACACTGGGGCGTAAGAAAGAGGACACCGAGAAAGAACAACGCTTACAATTAGCCCGATAGACTTCCTGTCATTGTGACCAATCAGACCAAATGCTAACAACCCTAACACAAGGCAGAGATCTTGTCAGGAACAAGCAGGAAACATAAAACATGACACTGAGATCAACACAAAGAATAAGAGAATGGCCAATACAAGGGATAAAGTAGAAAGAGATAAAGTACCCAAGAACAATAATAAAAAAAGGAGCAAATAGGGGCTCAAGTTTATGATACATGTAAAAGGTTTTACAGTCAAATGAGTAAAACAGAATGGAAAATAACTCAAAGGCACTATACAGAACATAGGCTGTAAAAATGGTAAATTAAACAAAAGGGAGAGGGAGAAGTAATGACAAGGAGAGAAGCAATTAAGGAGGATGGGGGGGCAATACCTTTCGAGCATGTGGGCCTCTGGGCTTGCGGAGGACCACCAAGAGGATGTCCGGCAAAAGACTGAGGAGGATGAGGAGGATGATGACCAACCAGGCTGACACAGAGCTCAGCATGTTAGCAAAGACAAAGTACAGCCGTTGTTGTCTCAGGAATGGCCTTAGGGTGGGCAAGAGAGCGAGAGAAAAACAATAAAAGGGTGGTATTATAGTAGTATTAGGGTGGTATTATAGACATTAGACATAGACATATGGACATGTCTAGAAATTAAGTTTAAGAGCTTAAAAATCATCATTAAGAGCTTAAAAACGATCATTAAACGGCAGTCCACACAGCTTTCCGTATTTTCTTACCATATGATGCCTCCCCAGAAGAAGCTAAAGAACACATAGAAGGCCAGTGAGCCCCAGATCACAAAGTGGTTGATCCACGTCCAGTGCCGTGTGTCCAAAGCCAGCTGAAATAGAAGCACAAGTGATATCTGAAAATTCAAAAAAAGCAGCCAGACATATACCTATTTTTCTCCTAAATAATGAAATAAATTACAAACTTGATGTAAGTGCATCATCAAATTTTGTTTTCCTTTCCTGGTGCTAACCTTTAGTGTGACAGTGAAAACAAGGACTGTAAACACTATTGTTCCGTAAGACCAATTTCCAAACACCTGGAGAGAAAGCACAGAGCAGAAAGAGTAAAAAGGCCATTCTATTACTTCTCACAGCATGGGAGTTCTTAAGAAGCAGGGTAGAGCACCGCTGACCTGGCCGTTGTCCTGCAGCGCTGGGTTGCTGAACAGATATCTGACACCAAAGAAGAAGAGAAGTCCCTGGAAAATCCCCAACACAGTCCAGTATAGGAAGGGGCCCCATCGCAACATAGCGTTCTTTGCTATCTCCCTATAGGAAGAGAAAAAAATAACAGAGAGAAAAGAAAAAAAAAAATACCTGTGGTCATTACTAGTCAAAAAAGGATGCAGGAAGTTAATGGAGAAACAGATATATAGTCATATGCACAAGTCTGAGCACCCTTTGTCAAATTACATTTTGTTAAAGTTCTCAGTACAAATAAGTAAACTCTCCTCAACAGAGAACACACTTCTGCACGTTTTAATGTACAACTTTATTTGTTTAATTTTGACATATTGGTAAAAATAAAACAGAAAATGTGGCCTGTGAAAAAGGTATGGCACATTTAATATGTTAGGTTTTATTTTTTCCTTGTGTGTTAAATTCAACTGTTAAACAAAAGTTCTGCTCTAATTTTTGCATAAAATTGTCACATGTAAGTTGGTTTACTATAGAAGAGTTATTGACTTATTTTCACTTAGAAAATCAACAAAACAAGCAATTTGACCAGGGGTAATCAAACCTCTGCATACAATTGTAACTGGTCCCTGGTACGCAAAAAAAGTGGTCTTGTACATTTAACTATGCCTGTGCTGGTAACAGAACCCTCTTATTCAGATAACAGCAGAGTAAACAGTTACATCATAATAAATGCTACTAGATACTACTACTACTACTACTACTTCTACTACTTCTACCACCTATTACTATAAAGTGGATGCAGGAATCAATAAAGTGACAGTGTGAGTTGTCTTTAACTTGACCATGAAAGTCTAAATAATCTAATAATAAAGAACAGAACTGTGAATGTCACACAGACTTTACTGTCCAGTGCAGCTTAGCTTAGCCTGATTGTAGGAGAGCTGAGAGAGGACAGGGTTTTTCCTGAGACCTGCAGTTGTTTTGTCCAATGTCTGAAACCTGACACTGTAGTCTGAGGATGTTTTAAAATATACACCATAACATAGGTGGTATTTTGTAAAGATTTTATATCTGCCTGCTGCAATGACATACAGACACCGTTAGTCATCCCTCAAGTGCTCTGAAGCACAGCTCAACAGACAGGCTTCTACACCAAACTTATCTATGTTGGTGCAACAACTGTGGTTTAATGAGGAAGAAACCTTGAGAGGAATCACGGCTCAAAAGGGGAACCCATTCTCCTCTGATAGACATCAGATACCAAACAATAACAGCAGAGAATAAGGTTTGATCATCAGTATAAATATAAGACATGTAAAAAGGGAAAAATCAGAAGAAGCAATGCCTATGATTAAAAAAAATGCAGAAGTGCAAAACGTTTAAAAGTTCAGTTACGTTTACATCTCTGTTTACATCTTTCCTATGGTTTGAATGAAATCTTTTTTTTTTTATGTTCTAAACTGGCGGTAAAAGAGTTTGTACCGTCACTGGGGGTGTCACCATGGTAAGATGGTTAGCGAGCACAGGCCTACCTGTAAAGCAGTCCTTTATATTAAACAATGTTAGCAGGAAGCAGCAGAAACAACAACTAATAAAGCTGCTAAAAGAATATGCTTCACAAACTGGTAAGCTGTGCTATAAAAGAAAATATGCAGAAGGCAATGCAGTTCTCTCTCTTACCTGTAGAGGGTGGCATTGTCAAGCAGGATCTCGATGGCTATGTGCTGCTCCAGCAGGCTGTAGGCCAGGATGGGCATGGAGGTGAAGCAGATGTTGTACATCGTCAGATAGGCTGCATCGTACAGGGGCTGGGGAGGGGAGGAAGGGTAGGGATTGGGCACCCAGGGGTTAATACAACATAAAGGAGAGCCTCACACACACATACACACTCGGGAAGCCAACTCCACAGCAAGAGTGGAGACTCTCTGGCTGTGTGGCCACATGCAAATGGTCACTTTATTGATATATATACACATACAATATTGTGAAGTTAGCTAGAATTTGTATCGCTGACAGGATTCCACCCCCTTTTTAAAGCACGGTAAAGCCAAAGAAAAGAACGCAGTGGTCAGAGAAAGAACACTGGAGCCTACAGTCCTCTGAAAGTAAGTCCTGATTAAGTTCTAAGCTGTTCTAAGATTTCTACCAAGTCTAGATACACTTCAAACTGTTGTACTTGAGAAAACAAGATCATAAATAAATGTGTTTCTTTACACGCATGTTATATATATATCAGACAGCAGTCAGTGGAGGGCAAAGAGAGAGGGAGGACAGAGCAGAAGGGAAAAGCAAACGCAGGAAGTGGCAGTTGAGCTTGCTGGATAGCCTTCTCTCAGTATTGCCAGTGTCAGTACTGGCACCCACCTGCTGAGAGTAACCACAGAAGAACTGGTACAGGAACTGAGGTAAGATGAAACAAAGGTTCTGAGGATAAAGACACAAAAACAAGTGCATTAACATCTAAATAATGAGGACCAGAACAAATAAATCACAAAATCCATTTCACAATAGACTGGCATTTGTTCTTGCACACCTTGTAGAAGAAGTACTGGACGAGGTGGGCAATGCGCACATAGTAGAGGTGTCCGTGTGCCAGCAGAAGCTTCTTTAAGTGCTTGAGTTTGGGGATGGCGTAGTCACTATTCCTCACTGCTTGGCGGCCCTCTTTACCTTTTATTCCTGCATCACAGACGCATAACCACACGGTGCATTGGCACACAAAAATAAACACTACCTTTAAAAGCATCAGCTGTGAACTTCCTTCTATCGCTTTTATTTATATACCAGCAGAACGGCAAGGAAGGCAATAAAAAAAAGTATGCAGATAATTCTTATACAGCAAAGTATCTTTTACACTGTTCCCTTCAGGCAAAACATCTCATGGAGAACATCTCCATTTTGTAACAGCACTCCACCATTTCTCACAATCACATTATGTACAGGGGAGTTTAACTGTGTATTTTATTGACTGCACCATAGGGATGCTCCAAACAGCAATTTACAGGCTTTGAATACTCCTTGGTTTTTCTGATCGAGTACTAAAATACTCATGTTCAAAAAACATAAATATCAATACATCTTTTATGAAGCGCATAGAGGCCAAGGGTATAACAAAGTAGAATTATGTCAGGTTTAGTTGTAGCTTGTTTTAGTTAGTGTTTTTTATTTATCAAGTTATTTTATTTGTCTAGTCTTTTATTTGTTTAATAACAGAAAGCAGCAGAAAGGGCAAAACCCAGGCTTAGTTGAGCTCAGTCATGGCTGAGCTACAAGAAGTGGAGAACCTTTTGGAGCTATGTGCTTGCCTGAACCACCCTAGAAATGACTTGGCAAGGACCCCACTTGGCCGGAGCAGCCTGTCCTTCTGGGTCAGGTACTGATCTCAGAGGACACATTGCAAGGCAACAGGATCACTAAACATGCACTGAGCATTTTCCTAAACATCACTTAAAGTGCTCCCACATTTGATTTCTCAGGTATCTTTGCACTTCTACCTTCAACGGTCACATGGAAAGTGATGTAGGTCGTTGTGCTCTGAGGCAAGATGATATGGATGCCTGACATGAATTTATGATGTATTCAACTAAACTAGCTATGATTTATTTTTTACATTTTTCATATTTCTTTTAACTTGTAAATGCCTTCACTGATGAAATATGTTGTAGTTTAGTCTAGCTTTTCTTGTGGCTCAGGAAAAAGACAATGCTTTTGAATCAAGTATTCAGATTATTTAGGGCAGCCCTACTGTGCAATGTTTTATGTTGTGCTGTCTAACTGTATGTTTACAAATTCCTCTCGGACTGATGTGGCAATAAATTACTTGAAATTTGAAACACAGATGATGAAAGAGTTGGAAACAATTAACAAATTACTGTACATTTCATTCTCATTCAAGTCATGTAGCTGGTAACATATTGTACAGGAGAGCTTACCGATGCCCACATGTGCCTCCAGGATCATACTGACATCATTGGCCCCATCACCAATAGACAATGTGATGGGAGAACCTTTAGAGTTCTTCACCATTTTCACTATCTGCAAAGTTTAGAACAAATTAGTGATGTTTACATTCTTGTCATCATCCCTCATTACTCACTTATACACATTTAAATGAGACACAAAGTTCCCCTGCAGTGCATGCCCTGTGTGTGTGTGTATCTGGACCCTCACTGCAAGTCTGACCTGAGCCTTCTGCAATGGAGCCATGCGGCAACAGAGTACAGCAGTGCAGTTCTGGCAGATCTGCAGGAAGAGGTTCTTGTAGCGGTTGGAATTTGCATCAGGAGATGGGTTCATCACTAAAGACAATGTGGCTCCGTCTATGATGAAGCCATACTCCTGATTTGAAGTGGACCAGCTCCTGAGGGAGACACAAACCACAAGGTTAAAAGCTTTACTTTTTTTTTAATGACAATGTGTATGAGATACTGCATAGGGTGGACTTGAAGGGCCTATAACTTGGAAAAACAAATTTCCTTTTTAAATTTTATAACATGTAAACACAGTAAGACCTTCAAAACATACTATTCGTTACCAAGACCATACTGTCCATATATGGAAGCTAAGTTGCAAAAACAGCCCATTTTGAATATACTGTTCTATGATTCACAAAAATCCCAACACATTTACCGATTCAGCCTATAGCACTTCAGACCCACTCGCTCGTTTTGAGGTTATAAGGAGTGTTTCAGTCCAGACTGCTTTATGAATGAGGCATAATACAGAGCAGCCAATCAGAACAGAGGTCATACACAGATAGTCTCAAAGACACAGCAGCAAAAAGCGGTTGGTATAGTGTAGTGGGTAACACCTCTGCCTTCTACACTGTAGACTGGGGTTCAAACCCCACCTTGGTAAACACTCTACACTATACCAATAAGAGTCCTTGGGCAAGACTCCTAACACTACCTTCGCCTACCTGCGTGAAAATCACACTGTAAGTCGCTCTGGATAAGAGCGTCTGCCAAATGCCATAAATGTAAATGTAAATGTAAAAAAAAGCAGTCTGTTTAATTCTAAGGGATAAATAGAGGTTAGAAAATGATCATAAAATAATGAACCAGGACTGTTTTTGGGCACAAAAAGTTTGACTTTGGGGGAGGGGGGATACAAAAAAATGCATAGGTTATGGGCCCTTTAAACATAAAAATCACATCATGTCTTTGTCTCCTATTGCATGTTAATGGAGAAATTGCCTCGACATTAACCTATGCAAACACACAAGACATGGACACTACTGAAGAACACTATTAATGCCTAGGCCAGTGGCAGTCCAAGTTTCCAGGCAACTACATTACTTTCTCTTCTGGGAACCTAAACAACCCCAGTGGTATGACTAGACAGAATTTGTGGCATTCTTCATTTGCATGTTTTACACAAGCTACATCAAATACGACTAAATGCCCACAGTTGCTTAGAGAAACTGAACTTCATTGTGAAGTTCAGACCTCATTGTGGAATGCACAGCAGATTGGTTCATTGAGATCGCAGACCTGGTGACCCCAGCTTTGACTGGTGGTGCATCCTGCACCGCTTTCTTATGGTAGTCTAGCAGCAGCTCGTGGAGCCTCTCTTCACGCTTCCTCCCTCCATCTTCAAGGGTACGCACAGTCAGTTCCAGCAGCTCCGTGCCCCGCTGAAACAGGCGGCAGGCGTAACACGTGGACTTGGCCGTCTCCATCTTGTCTCCAGTGAGCACCCACACCTTCATCCCAGCTCCCTGCAGAGCCTCCATGGTCTCTGCAGCCTCCTCCTGCAACCTGTGGGACAGAGTGAGAGGTCAGGATGAGTAGTGTTGGGTGATATGGCCAAAAAAACCTTATCACAATATATATTTCCCCCGTAATTCGATAGAAATACATAGCAATAATTATTAGACGCAAGTAAATATGGGCAGTGTTGCCCATTTTAGTAGCCACACCCCGTTGGCAAAGTCCGTAAACAATGTTGCTGTGTTACACTGCAGAAGATGTACTGCATTTTTGTTACAATCTCTTTTTCTTCCAGGATGTTTACTTCTGTCTTCCCCTATATAAACTCAAAACTGAAAACAGCTAGCTAACTTCCTTAACTGTCACTTCCTTAACGCTCATCTGTGCTATTACAAGTAAATGGACAGCCTACCTCTCGCCTGAGTTCAGACCTTTGCTGCTTATACCAGGTTTGGAACACCATAAATAATTATTGAGAATATCTCAAACTGCATAAATCCTTTTCGGAAAAAAAAAAAAAAAAATTAACAATTACTGTTTTATTTCAGAGGCCCATCAAAATTAATAATAAATGAGTGTAAAAGCTGTGCATCACAGGACTCCAACAAGGATTTATTTTCGGTTCTGTGTATAAAACAGCTAAAATAGGACAGAGCAGTCTAAAACAGGCTAAATCGCCAACAGGAACAAACCAAAGGTTTAGTGTTTGGTGATGATTGATGGGAAGCGTTAAGGGTCAGAGTACAAAAGACAGTATAACTGGTACGTGACTACTTTGTTACAGCGTACAAGCGGCCACTGACCTGTCCTCCACTGCAGTAGCTCCAATCAGACTCATTCCTGTCTCCACCTGGTTATAAACAGCCATAAGCTTCTCCTCCCGGTCCTGCAGAGCCAGACGGGCATCCCTCAGTCCAGCGTCTGCCACAGCATACTCCTCTGGGCTGAGCTGCTTATAGGCCACACACAGGGTCCTGTAGCCATCCTAATCACATACACAAACAAGATATCTTCAGTTGAGTGGATACTTGTGCTTTTGAGTGCCTGATATTGACAAGGGGAGCAAACTATTGAAAACGTTAAAGCTAAGAGAAAAAGCCTACTGTAGCATTGCGCTCAACATGCATACGGATTCTGTCCACTTCCTCTGATCTGACTCTGGGGAAGATGGAGGAATCGGCCCCTTTGCAGAAGAGCAGAGTTTCCCCTGATTGGGTAAAAGAATGCACAAAAACATTAGGACAAAGGATCAGGGGTTAACTTATTAAAAGGTCAAAAGTGAAGTAGGCATTCACCACACATTAACTCACCTGTCTTGGTCCTGACTATGACACTCATTCTTCGTCGTACAGGGTCAAAGTTGAGCACATGAAGCAACTCATATCTGTATGATTCAATAACATTCCCCTTCTTTTTCTATCAAAAAGAAAGCACAAAGTAGGGATGCACTGATCAAATTTTTCTCTCCCTATGCTCACGGTATCAGCTGATACTGAGTACCAATCCAATATCAGTGCTCTGTTACGGGATTCAGGTTTCACAGCAGCAAAGTACAAAAAACTCTTTTTATGATTACTCAAATTTTAAAGTTCTAAATTGTTTTAGAAGTTTAATTTAATTTCATGGCTAAGAGCCTATTTGCACCTTCCTTTAACATTTCACACATTTTCACCTCTGGATATACTTGGGTCAGATTCCACTGACACTAAAACATCCCCAGTTCGGCCAGAAGAGATCTGATTTTACTTTTCACACCTAGAGGTCCATACAACACAATCTGTTTCGTTTTTTCTTTTTTTGGTGACTTTTCCCCCGTTATGATACAAGTTGATAAGCTTGATTTAGACACTTTCATCAGCCCAGCATGCAAGAAGGCTGTCAGTTTGTGGAAAACTCCAGCCTTGCATATCCTCCATCTTTTGTTTCATCATTTATTCCTTCACAGTCAGCACTTGGCAGATGCATTTCCACTCATATGATGGTGTAGTGGTAAACGCATTCTGTTTATACTTGTTTTAAATGTGGTCAACATCCGTCTTTGATCACCTCTAAACATAGTTCGAGTGATATAATCATAATCTGCTCACAACGCGTTCTTGGTGTGTTTGCACCTGGCTTTTCATGCGTTCAAATGAAAATCAAGCGTGATCCGATCACCAAAAATGCATTCTGATGCAAGGTGTAAGCAGACCCTAAGAAACAATCTGACCAATATCAAGTCCACTTAATAAAGTCAGCATCACTGCTGATAATCATCCAATATATCAGATCAGAGCATCGCTCGCACAAAGCCTTTACTATTTTTGACTTTCTCAGATCAGAACTTTATGTTTAGTACAACATTACTGCTAGAGTACATCCATTTACAGCCTTTACTCAGAGTTTCAAAAACACTGTATTTCCCTGGAGAGAGAGAGAGAGAGAACAGAACTCACATTTCAGTATCGTTCTGCCTGTTTCTTATCTTCATAGTTTTGTTTTCCAAACCCAGGAAAGTGAAGCCATGTCTGAGCAAGAAAACACAAGTGTTTATGCAGTGGATGAATCAATAGTATTACAGTATAGATTCGCAGTACAGCCAATGTCAAATCCACAGTCTGCCTGGTCTTACTTCATGGCTCCTTTGACCAGAGCGACCTCATCTGGGGAGGAGGCAATGAAGCCTCTCTCTTCAACTGGCTGGGACAGTCCAGCCGCCAGTCCGTCCACCTGGACCCCATCAATCTCATCAATCTCATCTGGCCCTGCCTCCTTCACTTGGACCGTGTGACACAAGCAGAGAGCCCGCAGGAAAAGCTCCTCTTTTTTCTGATAACCAAAAAAGAAAGAGAGAGAGATAAACAAAGAAAGAGAGAAAGAGGGAGGAAGGGAGGGAGAAAGAGCAGTAGAGGGATAAAGAGAAAGAGAGGCAGGGAGGAACATGATCAATCAAATATGAACAGAGGACATATACATGGACAAGACATGCTTCCCCCACAACAGAACAAAATGCTCCCATAAGAGTCTGTGGGTTGTGGTGCATGCTATGGGAATTGAGCCAAAAAAGCAAATACCGTATTCCGCAGAGACTCCCAGCGTCAACCAGGTGTAACACTCAGTCCTCAACATTTTCAAATATTTGGCCTCTGGCCCTCCACCCTGTTTACTAAATTCTAACAACTACTGATCCCTACAAGAGGGAGCATTCCAAAGCAGTACATCTCTGGCCTCTCTAAATTTCTTGAACTCTCAGAATGGTACACAAAACTAGGTGCCTTGGACACTAGAAGAAAAACTGAATAAAATGCACTGCTTGCAATGAACAGTGCCTAAAGGAATGCAGTAATTTAATGCAGTACTAAGATAAGGAAAGCTTTAAACGTGCACTGGATAAAGGATATGGAACCACTCACCAGGCCAGCCTTCTGCTGCAGCTTGCTGACAGGCCCATCAGTGACACAGAACCCATCCAGCTCACTCATGGAGTCTGTGTTCTTGTACTGGAAGCCATCTATACAGCACTCGATGAACTCCATGTTGTTCTGCGTCAGTGTGCCTGTCTTGTCTGTGAAGACATACTCCACCTGCAGTGATCAGAAAAGGACAAAAGGCTGCAACTTATTTCTATAAGCAATTCATCTATTCACTATTATTTGATCAATCGATTAATCGAGCCATTGCCTTCTACAGTTTTCTCTCACATTGCCTTGTCACTGCTCCAGCACTTGCACTTATGCTAACTGACGAATTGTATTTACCAAACAAAAAAAAAATTATATATATATATATATATATATATATATATATATATATATATATATATACATATATATATATATATATATATATATATATCTCAATTAAATAAAAAGAAAAATAAATAAAATAAATAAATAAAAAAAATAAAAAGACAGACATAAATGTTTAGGAGATGAGCAAAAATAAATATTGGCCTTTTTAAAGCAAAAATCATTCCTGGAAACCATGTTTACATCAATCAAACTAGAGAAATCTAGCCACTGGATATTAAATCAGCAAGTTGGATGAGGAAGAGGCAAAGACACTCTATATGCTGAGGAGGATTTGCCATCTTGTAAGAGGTCTTTTATCAAACCCCAAGAATAGCAAAGAAAAGGACGGCATTAATATTTATCTTTACACACAATGTTTTGTTAATTGCAAAGGCAAAAAAGAACAAACACAAAATCAAATGTAGCAGGTTAAGGACTGGCTGGCAGAAGAGGTGCAACATTACAATTATTGATATGACCAATCTTCAAAATATTGCATAAACAGCAAAGCGAGCATTAATATATTGAGAGAGAAAAACACAAGACCTTTCTCTTTGTTTTATATACATTCTGGTTTGGACATTGCTCTCTAGTGCACGTTTCTGTTATGTTCAAGTACACTGGCAGACATCTATGCGAATGTCTGTGCACAGCACCCCCACATGTTCACGGACATGCAGATGTTGCGACTAATAGCAACTCAAGAACCACAAGCACGTCCACCACAATCCAAGACCGCACACTCCACACACGTACAGACACAGTTTAACAGACTCTCTGACAATAAGGACGGACAATTAATCCTTGACAAAATTACTCCCCTTGCATAAATCAGTTTAACGAAGCATCACCCAATTTGGAGTTATCATCTGCCTAACCATTCGCGACTGATCTATGACCTGACATAATTCGTAGGTGCCTGACTACATTTCAACACATCTGTGCCTGCTCAAACCACTAAGTACCAGCTACAAAAAACTCCCCACTGCTGCCCACATTAGCTGTGCTAAAGTGATTCAACAGTGCTGGAGAGTGATGGCTTTCTATTTAAAAGCTACATCAGACACCTGATAGATTACATTCATTTTTCTTGAAGTGAACGGCTTGTATCAATGATGCCAACCAACATAGCAAACAACGTTAATGGTACTTCCTACATTTAAAACACATTGATCTTCTAACTTGGCTTACAAGGTCTTAACAGGTCAGCAAAATGTACAGAATGGACACTCTTGGTCTCCTCCCTGGCTTCAGGTAATAAGTAAACTAAAATAAGTAAACTAATAGACACTGTTCATTTCCTTACCCTAAGTGCTAGTAGTGCATAAAGAGAGGTGCTGGAAAGGGACCCCTGTGCCCTTATCTGAACTTCTTACCTGACCAAGCTCCTCATTGAGGTCAGATGTGTTGACCAGAGCCCCCTCTTGGATCTCCGGGTCGAAGAAGTCTCTATCCCAAGTAATAAAGAACGAACCCAGAAACTTCTGCATCTCCACGGTGACGTACATGGACACGGGAATGATGAAATTGAACAGCACCATGAAGGAGAGGAAGTCTGTAAACATCTTCAGATACTACAGAAGTAGAAAAAGAAAAAAGAAAAACAGACAGTCATCTCCCTGGAACTCACTGCTTAATCTAATCGGAAAGAGACCAAGTAGACCAGAAAAAAAGAAACACAGCTAATCATTTATAATGAGACCTGTACACTACAAACCTAGTTCCAAAGACGTTGGCACAGTATGTAACATGGAAATAAAAACAGAAAGCAGTAATTTGTAAATCCGCACCTATATTCAATCTAAAGCAGCTGAAAGACATAATATTTAATGTTTTCTCTTAACTTCATTGTTTTTTGTAAATATACTCATTCTGATGCCTGCAACATGTTTAAGACTAGCAATTTAAAACTAGGAACATTTAAAATGTTTAATAACTAAAACATTTAATAAAGAGATGATGCAGTCATGGTTGGGTTATAAAAGGAGCATCCAAGGAACACCTAGTCCTTTATGAGCAAGGATTTTCGAGGCTTGCACCTTTGGCAAAAAATGCGCATCAGCAGAAAAGTTAAGAATATAGTTCCTCAACAAGCGTTTGCAAGGATTTTTCGTATTTCATTCTTTATGGTGTGCATCACTATCAAAAGATATCTGAAAAATATCTGCAAAGCCAAAAACCATAACTGAATGCTTTCGACCCCTCATACAGCACTGTGGTTCAAAACCGCCATGCTTCAGTGATGGTTATCACTACATGGGCTCAGGAATACTTTGACAAACTGATGTCAAACACTGTTTCTCACTGCACAGCAGAAGCCATATTTCAACAATGTCAAGAAACGCTGCTGACTTCGCTGGGGTCAAACTCCTGTGAAATGGACTGACAGACAGAGGAAACATGGATTGTTACAACGTGAAACTGCTGTAATAGCGTGGCTTCGTTATATGAGAGTGCGGGTGCTAGGTTGGCCTGCCTGTCTCCTATTAAAAGCATGTAGCGCATTACAAAGAGCAATTTATGACGATGAGGGCCATATATGATCGTGCAGTTAAAGACATGTACAACTGAAGAATGGCAAAAAAAAAAATCACTTTCAATCCCCAAACACTTATTAAGTACTTTTACAGAGAAAAGTGATGAGACAGTGGTAAACATGCTCCTGTCCCAACTTCTTTGGAAAGTGCTGCAGGCACCATATTTGGAATGAGCATATATTGACAAAAAAACATAGTTCATAATATAAAACATCAAATATTGGGTTTTTGGACAGTTTGCAACTGAATACATGTCAAAAAGAATTTACATATAACTGCTTTCTGTTTTTACTGGCATTTCACGTACTGTCTCAAATTTTTGAAATTGCATTTGTATTATAATCTAAGGCAGGACAAGAATGGGCTCTGATCATTTAAGATAATTTGTTTTGAGCCAACACTTCAAACAGGAGAGTGATAATAATGATCATTAGGTCTTCTAAGGAAAGTTTTTTTTTTTAAACACTCATTTACATCAAATAAAAAAATGCATTGCTCTCACCACATAGGTGTCCTTCTCCTTCTGAGTCTTCTGGTTGTACCAAGGTTCGTCTTGCCCAAATTGGTTCTGCCAGACATACTTCAGGGTGGTGCACACCACTGCTTTGCTTATCAGGATGCATAAATAGACCAGCAGGAAGCCATTGATAGATCTGTGAAAAGAAACACCTCCGTAAAGGGCGTCTGAGACATTGCTCACTGGTTAGCTGTGAAAGACCCATAGCCTGTCACTTCCACTTACTTCTCCACGGCTGAGCGTTTTTGAGACTTGCCCTGGTAGTTGAGAGCCATCTTTGTCTCCATGCCTGTGTACACTGCTACACCTGGGAACAAGGACAACAAAAGGAGAGTGAGACCGGCACCCAGTAGTCGTCCTCATTCAATAGTTCTTTCACTTAAAAAGTAGATTGGATGTACCATAAATCTTCTTGGTGTTTTTTAAGGTTGCCCCTTTCAGAAGCAGGTTCTCTGGGCCCAAAGATCTAAATCAAAAAATAGAAGCTGTAATTTAATTATTGCACACCATCGACTATGTCCAATACTATAATGGACAGCCAGGCAGCAGACATCTGGATATAGACGACTGGGTTTTTTGGCCTAGACTGCTCTTGTAAAGGACAGGGTGTGGGGGGTTTCTTACAATACCATTACAAACTGTACCAGCGACAAATGGCAGGAACAGCATTTTCAAAAGCAGAGCCTCAAACAGGGCCAAGCTGGCTCTGCTTTAATGCTTGTTTAGAGTTATGGGTCGATGGAATAATGATCAGAAGTTAATGCAGAGGGAAAAAGAGTGAGAGCTTAAGGGACTCGCAGGCAGCATTACATGAGGCTGGCTCTGGGGAGCAGACCAAAGACAGGCTCACCTTACTGCTGAATCGTGCCCTGTCTTGTAAATATACATCCGGCCCACAAACCTACACACACAACACACAGTCAGTTAGTTGAGCAAGTAGATAAACACACAAATGCACAGCAAAGGCAATCAGTACACTTGATGTGGTCATTTGCTCGATAACATTGAAATTAGATGTTTAAACAGCAAGCTGTTTAACATAAGCGACAATCCATTCTGGACTGATGCATTTATGTGCATCAATTAGGCCCCACTCTACATTCTACCTGAACACCATTATAATGGCTCAGTGATAATATCTGTATTCCAAAGCAGTGCCACATGCAAACGAGCCTTGTAGGAAATGCACCAATTACAGGGAAGATACTCATTGGTGATGACCCAACAGTCTGGCGTATTGGCAACTGCACTTTTGAAGTTTTGGAAAGGGAACTCAGATGACATCTGGTGCTTTAGCTGCTGAGGAATTCAAAGGAGCCTCGGTGTGAAGACTGAGCAGCTGCAGTGAGCGTAATGTGACAATGGGGGGCGCAAGCAAGCTAACCTATGTGTCACAGTGCAGTGAGCAACAGAAACACGTTGCTTGTACCTGCCCATGGTATGCAACAGCTCACTGTGGCTGTTAGGATGACAGGCTATAAACACAGAGTTCTGTTGTAGCTGTAACCAAGCTGTGAAGCTTCACTTACAACACTTTTGATTTCAACTGTAAACCAAATACCTAAACCAGCACCACTAAACTCGTAATCTCTACTGAGAGAAGCTGAGTGCAACTGAACACTGAACACTCAGCTCTGGGCCTGGAGCAATGCGTGTATATACGTGCAGCAAAACACAGGATGAGTACATACTTGTAGAGGTCAGGCTGGGGCTGTTCACACTCGATGGTGGCAGAGAGAGACTGCAGGTCCTTTTCTGTATCTGACACTGTGTAGTGTGTCTGAGAGAAAAACCGAGAGAAGGAGAAAAAGAAAGAACTGAGTGTTTCAGGCCATGTTCAAAATAACACACATAAAACCACACACAGTTAGGTCAATGAAGGGCTGATGTGCTGAGAGGACAACGACGAGCGGCAGGGTGGTGACTGGATCTGGGTCGACTATTTTAAGAATCGGAGCAATTGAGAGAAACAGCCATATCTGAGCCTTCACCCTTCATTTAAACTGTAAAGTACAGTATAGGTGTTCATGCAAGCTCAGAAATGCCATGCACAGCATCAAAAATTGTCAAAAACTTTGATAAGCTCACTTTGTGGTTAGACTCCCCATCCAGGCTGGCTGTGGTGACGAAGCAAGTGTCATCGTCTCGACTGGACTGCAGCAGAATGAGGTCACAGGGAAAGGTCTCGTCCTCCACCACCTCCACTATATCACCCACCTGCAAAGAAAACGCAACAGTTATCTATCCATCAGCGCATCTGACATATCAGTACGCATCAATACACCTCAGTGACCATGAAAGACAAAATATAATAAGAGCGTCTCAAAATAGTAATGCTGCGTGCACACACTCTTTTTCTCTCGCTGTCTCTCGCTCTCTCTCTATCACATACGCGCACACACACACTCAAGTGTCCTGCTCCCAAGGGAGCTGCGGAACAGAGAGGCACTTGGAGTAGAGTGGGAGGAGAGCTTTAACCAGGCCTGAAATTTTGGTTTAAACCTGAATATAGCTTGACTGTTACAGATATACAAATGCTATTCTAAAAACTTAGGGACAAAAAGCTGTGAAGTAAACTGTACTGGAAGAGTATTAAATTGAAAACAGTACAAAAAACATGATATTTAATGTTTAACCTTATGAACATTTCTTGGTGATATCATGCTGAGATAAGCATGTACGTCACTGAAAATGACATCTAAGATGACATCTAAAAGACAATGTGTTGCTCCAAAATGTATATCTTCAGCATAAATGATGCTTTCACAGATGAGCATTAATACACCACATGACAGATGCTGACTTTTGAACTTTACACTGGTCACCATTTGGATGGCCTTGTCCTTGCCAAAAAAACACATCCATTATTTCCATAAACAATCTAAAAGACTGACTCGTAAGACCACAATACACGTTTCCTCTGTTCATTAGGCCACCTCAGATGAGCTTGAGCCTAGAGAAGTTGGCATTGTTCACATTTGTTGTCCGTACATTTGCAGATGCAGAGACAAACAGCGTTTATTGACAACAGTTTGTCAAAGTATTCCGAAATCCACATGGTGATATCCAGCACAAAAACATGTTGGTTTTTAATGCAATGCCTTTTGAGGGATCAGTGGTCAGAGGCATTCAGTTGTTTCTGAATTGTTCAGCTTTCTGTGCACAGAGCTTTCTCCAGATACCCTGAATCTTCTGATTATCTGAAACACTGGGGAGAATGAATTATCTAAAATCCTTGCAAATGCTCATGGCAGGGCCTAATCCATCCTTGCTCTTAAAGGTGTAAGCTTTACCTGAATATTTCTCTCTTACACTCAAGCAAGACTGAATCACCTGTGAAAAATGCATGAACAGCTGGGTCTTGTGTGGTAAACTCAAAATGGGAGTGGATACCTTGATTTTTTCACTCTCCTTGCGTATCGACCGTCCATCCTCCAGCACTATCACTGGGTACTTATTCACCTCGTTGTCCGCTTTATGCCGCAGCCAGTCCTCATAACCCTGCAGAGAGCGAGACAGGAAGAGAGATGGTTATGTTTGTGCTTGTGTGTAGTATTAGGTGTGATGAGTGCAGCATGCACTATTTGGATTGCTTAGTCAAATCAGGCGTAAACACAAAGCCTGTATTAATGATACAGAAAATGGAGAAGCAGGTATAGCTTGTAACATGGACCCTGCCACATACACAGAGCTATAGCTGCAGAAAAGGGGGCCAGCAGCACTGAGAGTGGGCCCGGGTTAATATTGTCTCTCCTTGTGTCCCACTTCAAAGTTCTGCTGAGGCCAGAGCCCCTCTCACTATGTGGCCCACATATTTCTGGAAGGAAGTCCACCCTGTATTGTGCTTCTCTCCCCGAGAGCTCTCAGCACTCCAGCGAAAAAAGTCAATCCTAAAACAATACATCTAAAGCCGCGACAGGGCCACTGTGTTCAGACAGAGCTCTGTACCATTTGTTTTCTGTATGAAAGAATCGCACGCTGTTCGGCTGTAGCCGCTGACAGTTTTAGAATAGGATTCACCACTGACTACACAGAAGCAGTTAAGTAGTGACAGAAACCAATAGGACCTGCAGTATATCAAAACTCATTCTAAACTACTTTCCAAGAACGCTTCCTGGTTTCAAGTCTGCAATCTTTAAAATTGAGAGACAGTGGCTGAGCTGTGATAGGAAGTAAGTCTTTATTAGGAAACGTGCATTAAAACACAGACCTAGAAAGCACTGAAACACCAGGAAAACTAAATCCATGCTTTCTTTTTAAGCAGGTTAATGTTGCACTTGGGTACACAATAATCATGTACAAAATATGTCCTGTGAATAACTTTACAATTGCCAACTGGCAATGTATTTCGCCAAAATTCTCTTCTTTTGATAAAACACTGGGAAGTCTTACTTTTGGGTAGCACTTCCTTACCAATCATAATGCTGATATGCCTTTCCCTGTCCACACAGCTTTAACAAATCTGTGATCCTCCATGGTCTCTTTCTGTTCAGTGAAACTTACTGAGAGAAGGACAAGCAAAGGCAAACCTAGCAAGCATAACTGACCTATCAAGCCAGCTCGTATCTCTGTCCATCATCCATTTCTTTGTTCATCTCTCTGTCCGTTTGTTTGTTTGTTCTTCTGCTTGTCCAGTCATTTGTTTGTCCATTCATTTCTTTATTAACTCGCGCTGTTTAGTTCAGCTTTAGACTGGGAGTTTGGGACTCAGGGCTATCAATCATAGGTGGGTAATTGTCTCGAAAGCACGTCATAACGTCTATAAATATTTGATAAGCATCACGCAGATAAACAATATTAACATCATTTTGTAGATCAATTGGAGCTCTGTATGGTACAGCAAAAAGGTCATTGTTCTACCTGGAAGTTTTTGGCATTTTTTTTTACCCTAATTCCCATTACCACAGTGTATCTACTTATATTTTTCTGATTACTGATATTTATCTCCTTTTTTTTCCTTTTTAATTAAAAAAATGTATTGCTTTCATGGATGGATCTCTTTTTTTTCTTTAATGATTTCATCTTTACTGTAAGGACTTGAACCAAAAAGCAAAATGTTATGTGGCACAAGTTAAATAAAAATAATAAAAAAATAGGATGCCAATATGTTGCAGAAGTAAGAATTTTACTATTTTTAAAATAAAAATATATTTTAAAATTAGCTTTAAAATACTTAGTCCTACAAATTCATATTTAACCTCTGTGTTTCTGACAATTTGGTCACTGAAATTTGAAAACTTGTGAGAACAACCCAGGAGCTGATCAGCTTTTTTAAGCCATGCATTACTTCTCGTATTTTTTTTGTTTAAACTTTGCTGGATGTTTACTGTTACATTAAATTTTAATATTACACAAATGTTTCTTGTAATAATTTACACTGTGTTACATGGGACTTCAAAGTAGCTTTCTAAAGTATTACAATTCTCGCAAAGGCAAATCTGAAATGCTTTCTGAGTGAAACTGGCCTTTAAGGTGAGTAGAGAGAAAAGATGTTCAGCTCTGGTCCTTAAGGGACTTAGTCCAGCACAGTTTGGTGACTTTCCTGCTGATTCAATTAGTTACCAGGTTCAACAGGTGTGTTTGTGCAGGGTGATCACCAAACTGTGTTGATCACTGGCCCTCCAAAAGCAGAAGTGGACATCCCTGTGATAGAGGATAGTGAAAGAGTGAGTAGTAGATGGGTGGAACACAGAAAATATGTTGGAAGAGAGCACAAAGAGTGTCATGCTCACTAACCTGTTTGATGGCCGTCACTGTGATGACAAAAAACAAGGGTAAGCCACTGGTCACAGGGCTTGTTGGGGTGTCCACAATAACCTGCGAAAAGTCACATGCTAATTCATAGCTGGCTGTGTAACTGAGTACTGAGTCCACCTACATTTTACAATGAGCAAGCTAGCACTTCAGAAAGGAATACATTTCTTTTCTTTTGCCTTTTCTTTGCACTCCCCCACATGCTGTTCATTACTCAACTTCACCACAGCTGACTGCTGCCTAGGCCTTCAGCATCTCAAAATTGCATGCTGTGTACTACAATTGGAGCTTAAATGAGTATTCACAGGCACTTTCCATAACCTTACTGTAAGGTCAGCTGCCGGCTGTGTAAGATACAGGAGATACACTGAGTATGTGTGTGAATGTGTAAAGAGGCTGGGTGTGATCAACGCCACCATGAGGTGTGAACATGAAACAGTTTGTCAGCCTGTTCTCACACCACACAACAGCTATAGACAAAACACGCAACATATGGACGTATACATGCACTCTATTTTGGGCCGGACCAGAACAGACTAGAGATTTTGACTAAACTGCATAATTTTATAATCTGATATTTGATTAACATCATGTTAATGAACAGATATTTGGTTAACAGTGAGAAAAAAAAAATGTGCGCAAGTCAGAGACCACCCTTCATTCAGTTAATTTGCAGTAAAGTTATTCATTTTCAGTGTCAGAAAAAAAAAAGCTTTTCAGTATTTAGATAGTAACACTTGTGGATTTTTCAAATTTGAAACAAGAGTAGAGCTTGATTTTCTCACATTTCTCAAATAAGAAAGTACTGTTAATGTGATGGTGACAGTTGTTGGGAGTATAAATATTTCTAGCTTTTATTTATTATTATTATTTTTTTTTTACTTGTGTACCCTTTCCTTATGCAAGGGAGTTATATATCTGTCTCTTTTCAGATACATCTTCTGAAAAAAGAATACCTTGCAATTAATGGCTGTTGTGATGGGAAATAAAATGAACAAAAGTTGCTTTCTAATTTTTGCACAATAATACATCATCAGAATTGGGTAGTACTGGAATACATGTAAAGTCGTTAGGTAATCAGGTGACTTGTAGATTTTCTCCATGACTTTCTGTGATGCAACGTCACAAACACTCAAAAAATGACTTCAGTATTTGAGCACAGGCGTCTGGAATGGTTAACTAAGTATTATAACTGCACACTCCTTGTTCGTGCCAGAGCCAGAACAGTAGGGAAGAAGAACAGAAGACAGTGGGAGTTCAGGGTCGAAAGCTCATTCTGCAGCTCCTTATTCCAGCTCACAGAGCAAATGATCCCCAGGAACCTGCCCCAGCCTCCACCCCCCCCACAACAACCCCCACACTTGTGCAAGCACACACGCACACAAAATTAAAATAGCCCTTTAATTTGCATTCCCCAGTTTCAGGGCATGTAATCCCAAACAACCGCCCCCTGTGCCACTCTCACTGCACTCTAATGCTCTGTAGTATTGGCTGTTCTCAAGCAGTCACAAGACTGATTTTCTGATTTGCTCAACACCTGTGCAACGAGTTGTTGATTCAGGCACACAAACGCAGTGCTGCTAGCAGGGGGTTCTCAGGGAACAAGCTCCGGCAAGCAAAGACATGTACACACACACTAAAAGCAGCTTTCAGATTCAGAGGTTTGTGCTGATGTCATAAACACATCAGCCAAAGAGAGAGAAAGGCCTTTTCCAGCGCTTTCATGCGCCTAGGCTCTGAGGGAGTCACCCAGCTCCTGGAGCTCTAAGAACCCCCCATATGGCAGGTGTCTGCTGACAGCTGCATAGTGGCACCACTGTCAAAAGCATTCTTACTGAGACAGAGAGATAAGAGAAAAAGCAAAGGGCTTTTCCTATGAGTCAGCACTGCTGCTCAGCTTACAGGGTCAGAAGAAACTGTGTACTTTAAACCTTTCATAAAGGTGACAAAAAGACAAAAGGAAAAAAAAAAGAGAAGAGAATTGAAAGGCAGAAAAAGGAAAACACAGTGAGAAGGGAAGCCTCCTAATGTGGCCTGTGTGCTTTATTAAACGTTTCTACCAGACGCACACCCCAGCACTACCTAACCTTCAGCCATTGGTCGGACTGTGTTCAGCAGAAAGCGCTCTAAACTGCCCCCCGGCCATGCAGGTGATGAATGCTGCAGAACAGCAGCGCAGCAGAACGTCGTTTTTCGATCTAATAAATTGATAAAGGCCCATCTGGAGGTAGCCAGCTGCGGCGCCCTGTACGATTAAAGATATTAAGAGAGCAGTTGCGGAAAAGTGCTGAGGACAGAAAGTCCCACGGTCTCCTCCACTTAACTACTGTCTCTCTCTTTCATAAACACACACCCACACACACACACACACACACACACACACACACATGCACATTCACACAGACTGCATGGTGGTTCACATCAAAAGAATAAATTACATAAAAGTTTAGTGGTTTCTTACAGTGTACATTTTATTTAAATGAATTTTTAGTTACTTTCTACTTAACTCAATCCTAAAACACGTTACTCTGTGAGCTTGAAATAAGTGAAGTTATGACATCTTTCTTCATTAAATAGAACTGCGTGACCTCTAAGTGTGCAGTTTAGGCAACACTTAAACATACTACTTCATGTGGCCTTTTTGTGCATTGCACTTTGAGTAAACAGCACAACACATGTAAACAGGTGCTAAGCATGAGCTAAACAGAGCTATGCAGTGGTCCAATCACCCACAATAAGGACGCCACAAAACGCCTCTCAACTTATAACTGCCTTCTCCACTGGATTACTAAACAGTCTAAGAACTGTTTGCTGAACTCGTCTTGAATCTAACAGCATTTTGTGACAGACACCAAAAAAGCTCTGAAAATGAAAGTGAACAGATCTCTGCGCAAGTCCTTAAGGATCCTTAAGGATATTTGTGAGGAGACTGGATATAAGATAATCCACTTCCATAAGAAGTGGAAAGCAAAGGTAAAAACTGTTCAAAGGAGTTCAAAAAGTACTGAGATATATTGATTAGATAAACAGTCTAAAGCATTCATCTTTAAAGAGACAGAATACCAAACTTTTTTTCTGATGCTAAATAAAAATTGACTGAAATATAAATATAAAAAATATAAACTGACTGAAAATTATATACATGAAAGTGGTCTGTGATTTTTGTACATTACTGTATATGATAATGTCACCTGAACCAGCCTGCATCTCGGCCCTAAGCCTTTCTTAAAGCAAAGCCTCTGCTTTCTTGGACACAAAACATATTCATTATGATGAACAAACAGAGCATAAATCAGGACCGCAAACCAAGCTCATTTTTGTAACATTTTTAAGGATTTTTAAGTTTTAAGAACAGTTCTCACTTCTAAAAAAACAGCTCTAGCCACTCTTCTATAAATCATGTTTATATTACAGCATAGTCGTATTCTCATTCTTAGATTTTACACACTTTTACTGATTTAAAAAGTCTAAAAATGCATTCAAAATGGCACAAACTGAGCTCAGCACTAAACCAATCCTAGTTAAAGCAAAAGTCCATTTTTATGTCATATAGTGCATACGTGACATGGAACATCCTAAATTACATGAGATAAAGTCAGTAATTAAACAGTAACAGACAATACAGAAGGGTGGCAAGCAAAAAGATTTACTAGTCTCACTGCAGGCTATTGTATTCTATTAGTTAAATGATCTATGTCGCTGCTGTGAGATGTTACTTATATTTATTTTTTTCATGTGGGTTGTGGGATTATATGCACCACGAATGTAATGATTACAATTGATTACATATCACATATACTACACAATTATATCTGTAATATTAGACATACTGACATTAGAGATGGCATAACTGTATTAATGGGTACTGGCATTATGCTGATATCAGCAGAAAATGCTGGACTGGACATCAGAGGGGGGAAAAGAATTGCTCTCATTCAATATATCCTGAAACAGCAGAGGATATTTATCCTTGATTCCATTATTATATTTAGTGGTTAAGTATTTAACAGATTTTACAGTCAGTTTATTGTCAAATCAGTGAGCATGATTAACGCCACATGTACTTTTCCCCCATTTTTTCTTTTTAATGTCTTGTTTGTCTCAATTAAGACAAAGGAACTGAAAAAGTATGATCTTGGGATCACTATGAAATTCAAAGTATTGGATCTGTATTTAAACATTTTTAAATGATGCTCAGACGCAGTTCTGTTGTTATCTGTGTATTTCGTATTGTGGTGTAGAAGAGTGTTTGGGTATGTTACTCTAGTACTTAAGATGCTCAAAAAGATCTCAAAAATAAGTCCTCAATTAAAAATAGTTTACTTTCAAGCTAAGTAGTCCTAAGTTGTCTATACCTGCAACTTTCCATGATCTGTAATGCCCCAAAAAAACAAACTTACACCTAATAGACAACACATGGCATACTTGCCTTTGTCTAACAGGTGCTCACAGCAATATATAACCTCTCTGACCCCTTCTATTGACAGACCGACATTCTCCTTTTCTCTCTACAATTACAGACGCTTCCACTGCTTCCAGTCTCTCTTGCTCTCTCTTGGTCTCTCTCTCTCTCTCTGACACGCACACACGCACACACACGCACACACACGCACACACATGCACACACATGCACACACATGCACACACATGCACACACGCACACAACGAACATTCTAGTAAGATCGATGTCAGAGTGTGCATGGGAAAGACAGAGATCCCCCAGTCTCCCTCCTCCTCCGCTCCTCTCCTCCCTCACTCACTCCCATCCCTCTATTCCCATCAGGACCCAGCAAAGGCATGCAGAGCTATTTTTAGCCAAGTAGAGCTTTTTTATCAGCCAGTGTCTATTTGTGGCTCTACAGAACTACAGAGGGCTTCCTAGCTGCTGACGTCAGCAGAGCTGCGCTGCAGGGGCGTATGGAGAGAGGAAGAGAGAGAGAGGGGAGAGGGAGAAAGGGGGGAGAGGACTGGGGAGACAGGGGAGAGGGAAAGTGATGGAGCCACTGAGAAGGATGCGCATTGTCAGAGGCAGAGAGAGGGAAAGGGAAAAACAAAGGAGAGAAAGAAGAGAGAGACGGAGAGAGGGAAACAGAGAGAGGAAAAAAGAGAGTGAGAGAGATAGAGACACAGAGACAGAGTGAGACAGCGAGAGAGGGAGAGAGAGAGAGAAAAAAGAGTGAGAGGCAGAGAGAGAAGGAGTGAGCTGTGTGAGTGAGACAGATGTGGTTCGGGTTTTGATGATGCGTTTGCAGGGAGAGTCTCTGAGCTGAATTGAGCAGCTCTATTTTGGGGTCTAAAATGCGAGTATGGTCTCTGAGTGACGGGCGCTTTGCGTAGGTATGTGTGTGTGTGTGTCTCCCTCCCTCATGGCACTTTTATAGCAGCAGGCTGTGCGGGGAGAACTGGGCACTAAGGATAAGGAGCCCCTCCAGAGGGAAGCAGGATTAGTGGAGACATGCCAGCCACATGCCAGCAGTGGGCAAACAGCGTCCGCCCCCAGAACAACACGCGCGCGCGCGCACACACACACACACACACACACACTCATGCACAAAATACAGAATAACACATTAAGTCACACAGGCAAAACAAAGCATAAACCCACATAAACATAAGTAAACAAATACTTGTGTTCTCACACAGGCTCTGTGAACCTTTACACACACACATATACACACACATACAAAGCAGCACAGCTCAAGAGAATCCCAGCTTCGCATGTACTGATTAACAATGTTTGTCTAATGAACCTGTGATTCAATGTATTTATTTATTTTAATGTATTAAAATAAGTAAACTAAAGGTAAATGCGTCAATGTAAGATAACTAGTTAATTTTGAGCTGTAGTTATTACCTGAGGCTTTATTCCTTTGTTCCATTAGTGGTATCTATTAGTGATACTGGTAATAAATATGATTGTGCAGCCCTTTCTCATATATTAACAGTTCTAGCAATACAAGCTTTGCTAAACTGGTACTGCAGAAAGTTGCAATATTCAAATGAGTTCTCAAACAAATCACATTTTTTTTTTAATTGTGAGTTGAGTGCCCTGTCTAATCATAATGAGTCTTCTGTGGCTGTTTTGCTGAGTTAATTCAGGGGTAGACATTGCCTAATTCTATGGGTAACCACCACAGCAACCACAACAGAAATATCATCATTAATGTAAAGTTCTCCACAGGAGTTTCCTTTTTCAAAACAAACGCCAACTGCTTTTGGTACTGAAGCATGCTTATTAATTGTAAATACAATGTATATACACAGTAAACATGTTTCTGTTATTTTGGCCAAAAAATTCTTAATGTTGGCCCAAGATTAACTGGATCAGCAACATATCAAACAAAACAAGCAATATGCAGCAAAGTAATTGCAAATGGGCTTTTTGTGTGCATTGTACAGTCCTAACCTAACCTAATCATCCACATGCACACCCAGCCACACACTTTCACCCAGGGCTGTCTGCTGTCAGTGACTGAGTGCAACATTTTGCCATGGCCTGTACATGTATGGTGTGAAACAGCAGAGGTAGATGCATCTCCCTCCTCTCTCCCCTCTACCATCAGATGAAGACATAGCAGGCTTCAGGCAGTCAGTAACAGGATAAACGACGGCACACAGACACACCTTTCCACAGAAGATACATAAACAAACGCTTACCTGCACCAGGAATATAATAAGGAAATAAAAATTGGCGATTCTTCTGAACTGCTCAAACAGGTTCTTTGGCAGAAAGTTCCATACAGTGTACTGTGGAGACAAAAACAGGTGATGCAACAGTTATAAAACAAATTAATAATCTTACTCTGCCAGTAAACAGCTAAGAGCCTTAGGAGTTGCTAATATGTCTTATGAAAAAGCAGCTTTTCAAAGCTAAGGAGGCAGAGTGCAGTATTGTGGGTGAAAGCCCACAGGCTTGACAAAAAAAGCTAGAGGAAGGATTAAAATACATTCAATATTCATCAGCTCCTCTTTTAGCCTATTTATTTGTGAGCGAATGTAGACGAGCGCAGAAACTTTAGGGTGTTCTGGAGCACCCGTGGCTTGAGGAGGCAACCCTCCAGTTCTGCAGGTATTCCACTGATTTGGATTAGGGACTTATCTCCTTAATTCGGCTAGCTCTGAAAGGAGAGCCGATTACCTTATCCGGTCAGCGGCAGCTCCCCATTTTCATCTCTCTTTTTAAAGTGAGGCCTGATGGCTAATAGTGAGGGTAAGGGAAAAGCCACCCTTCTGCCATACAGGCTCGAAGCTGAATGGCCGGACAATGCCTTGCACACCCGGCACACTAAACACACTGCATGTAGTGCAAGATAAGCAGGGGAGCTTACAATACTAAAAGACTAAGTACAGTACTACAGGCGGGGCAAAAGAGAAGAAAAACGGGGTGAAAGAGAAAAAACTAGTGCTGGATGATATATCATATACAAAACAATACTGATTTGCAGTTTTAGTGGCATTAACAGACACAAATTTGGATGCTCCAGCTTGTTTTGAAAGAACAGCTAAAAACTACATAAAACTAAAAACAGCAAACAGTAAATTTCTTTTCTGGAAGCGTGCAGTCAGGTTCATGTTTACAATACTGTATAAAAATATTTTTCAGTGTAATTTGAAAAAATAACGCAAAACAGAACAACACAATTAAATCAACTTATAAAGACCTCTGTTTCTGTAGCTCATCATTCATCCTTAATTCTATTTTGCACTTTGTAGCTGGTTTCTGAATTTCACTGTTTTGGTATCTAACAAAGGCAGCTCACAGTTATAAATTTGCTAAGCTTACAGCTCTACTCTGCCAGTTATCACCATGAGCTGATTTGTCTTTCCTTGTCTTGTATAATAAATCATTTTTAAGGCTGTCAAATTTTTGTCAGTTTGGGTAGGGGGGTGGGGGTTTATACTGATTTATACACAAGGATCGAGGTTCGGCCTATCCTCAAATTTGCTGTGCTCACCCAAAACGGCAAACCTGGGTGTAGCACTGTCAGATTTTTCACCAGGCTGCACTTGATAGGCACAGATTGAAAAGCTAACAACTACACAGTGAAAATAGGTGAGAATACGTTTTCTTTGCTCTCTGACACACGTGTGCTGCATTCAGTTTGTGCATCACACCACCCTTGTTGGTTTCCTGGTGCTACTGGTTCCGCCCTACTGATCTACAACACACATGGACTGGCAGTGACTAGCAGAGCTCTCTTATTTTAATCAGTGGGAAAAAAGTAGTAATAAGAAACTTCATGAGCATTCAGATTCATCAGTAATGCGTTTTGTAAAAAAGGTGCAAGAAATGTCAATTTGGACATGACAGCGTGACAATGGACTGAATTGAGTCTCATAGCCAATGCGTGAGAGTTGGCAGCCCTGATGTTTTGCCCAATAGAACACAACAAAACAGAGGCCAAAAAGAAACCACTGCAAATAAGCAGTGCTAACACTGTGCAACCAGCAAAACAGAATGGTCCCTTCATGTCTGTGCTCGATGGTGTGCTGCCTGCCCCATGCGGCTGGTATAAAAGGCTACACTGAGAGTACTGGATAGTACTGCAAGTGTCAGTCAGTGGTGCAGTTGTCTCTTCAGGTCTACAATGCTCCTTTATTGATTTTATAACAATTATTTGAGCTGATCAAGTTCATTTTTGATTCGTCTCAGGGATGGAGCTGCATGTGGTTCACGGTTTTTGCATTTTTTCATATCACAAGACAATGTCATACCCCTATTCATTTTTATAAGAGTATATTTACCTCAGCTAGGGGTGGGAAAAAAGTGAAGAGAACTAACAAGAACTCACAGCACAGGACTCTAGATGAGAAGCTACAGTAAGGATAAAGCAATGTTAGCAATGCAATGATCTAAACAGAGAAAAAAGAAAAAGACACAGGAGGACAGTTGATGGTTTTCTATAGAATAACAGCTGCCTGCCGTCCTTGTATGAACTTCAGCTGTTGTGGCAGTAGCAGAATGCCTGCAGTGGAGAAGAGAGAGAAAAACGCAGGATGGTGCAGAGGAAGAATGCAGAGAGGAAGGAGTGAGATGATGGAAGCCAGATGCATGAGTAAGGGTAAACATCACAGCGCTGGTAATTAAAGTGTGTTTACACCGTAACACCAGAGTGGGATTGATCATGCGATTCCACAGCAGGATCATGGGGTAGCTCTATAAACACCCCCCTTTTCCTTCTCTCTCTTTCTTTCTCCATCTCTTAGTCTTTCCCGCTCTCCCTCTCTCCTCTGCACCACCCTTCTCTGGTGTATCGAGCACGCCTCCACTGTCAGCTGGGGGAGATTTAGGAAGTCCGATCAGGCTGAGGGGACAGATTGAATCACCCTCTCCGCTTGCCCATTAATTGCAAGGGTGTATTTCTCTGGCACCCCGGCCGTGTGCCTGACAGAAAAATAAGCGGCCTCCGTTGAAAGGAGACAGGGAAAGCTGCTGATGGGAGGGGTGGAGTGAGACAAGAGGATGGAAAAGAAAGATTTATTCAAACCATTGTAAATGTGTGTGTGTGGACATGGGATGCACGAGCAGTAGTGGTGTAAAAAATGCACTGAAACATGGTAATGTATTGATCTAAATGTAGCAATTCAACTGTATCAATTTTGGAATGCAAGAATAGATTATAACATATAATCTAATGAAATGAAATGAACATTTTAGCCAACTGTGTCTGAACACATGAGAATTAGACCTCCGCATTTAACGCATCCGTGCAACGAAACACCACATACACACTAGTGAACACACACACACTAGGGGGCAGTGAGCACACTTGCCCAGAGCGGTGGGCAGCCCTATCCATGGCGCCTGGGGAGCAGTTGGGGGTTAGGTGCCTTGCTCAAGGGCACTTCAGTCACGTACTGTCAGCTGGGGGGATCAAACCGGCAACCTTCCGGTCACAAGGCTGGTTCCCTAACCTCCAGCCCACGACTGCCCCAAAATTGTCAGGGGAGAGCGCGAACGCAGTCCCCCACGACCAGAAATTATGCAGTCGAGATTCCTGCATTTGGGGAATTCGCAAGGGTCAGCACAACCAAAGTGCAATGGCCGAGCCTCGCCCTGGGTGAACCACCTTCGTGATCATGGTGTCGCCCCTGCCAGGTAATATATATACACACACACACACACACACACACACACACACACACATACACACACACACACACACACACACACACACACACATACACATACACATACACACACATATATATATAGATATATATATATATATATATATATATATATATATATATATATATATATATATCACAACATCAAAATTCTCAGGCTATTTTCAAACATAAAATTCCCCAAAGTTCCAAAATAGCACTTCCACACATTTTTTGTAATTCTAGATCATAAACAGCAGTTCCTATTTGACCAGGTGAGTTTATTGTTGAAGTTGAAGAACTGCTAAACGGGCCCACTAAAAAGTGAAGTGCGGCGCTAAAAATAGAAGCATTAATGACCACTTTTCTGAGAGGACGATAGCACAACTACAACAATGTACTATATCGAAAGCAAACACCAACAGGCGATAAGACAAAAAAACCATGCTCTCCAAGAGAAAGTGGGATGCACGGCAATGCAAATGGAAATAGCAGATGGGTGCGTAAAAAAAGAATGTGGTGGGCAGCAACACTGAGGTACACTTGGCCTTTTTAAGGTCATGGCCTTTATGTTCGTTTTAACATGGGCTAGTAATGAGTGGTAAATTTAACTTTAGAACCTTACAATATGGAAATTTCAGCAGATCATTTTCCAGTCATTTTGTCAATGTTTTAGCTTTTGGTGATTTAATCACAGATACTTGTCAAGCCTGCAGCTTAAACAAAACTGGGTTCTTGTGTAGAATATGTTTAATAAGCACTTACTTCATGTATATACTTATGCCTGGCCCCACCTATGAGTACTACATTCCATAATCCATAGAAAGAACAAATTCTTTTAAACATCTCTGTGCATAAATACAGAATTCAGTTAATGTGTGTACTCATAAGTGTGTGTATATCAAGTGTTTTACAATGGCTTCATACATGGCTCATCCAATCAAATTTCAGAACAAGAATCTCTTTTATAATTTGTAATTTAATGGGTCACATACTTGATTTTAGGCTAGGCAATTCCCAGCTAATGACTGTCAAATGCAGATAAAAAGAATTTGCTAAGATCTCAGTGTGAATCATGTGAATAGTTCAGAGATGTATATGTGTTGAAAGACTTTATGGAGGAATTAAGCAAGTGGGGGCAGGGGGTTTAGCCCATACTTGGTGGGTGAGCAGGACAGTCTCTTTCACCTGGACGAACAGGTGGTCAAACACCAGGGCTCATGAAGAATGTGTCTCGGACACGTTCTTCACACACTGCAGCCGGAGCTGCTTTTTCCTCTCTTGTGTGTTAGCTCACAACCTCTGTGTTGCCATGGCAGTAAACAACACTTGCTAATTACAAGCTGGCCAAAAACAGGCTGAGCTCATAAGGAAAAAAAAACAAGCTGAACCCATTTTTATTGTCTTTTCAAAGATTCAAGACCGAAACCCTAATCTTGTTGTCTTGCACATAATTCATCAATGATGGCTAAACAAATAAAATTTTCTAAAAAACAATGATTATGCCGTGCTGCAAGATGGAAAAGAGCACCTACCTTGGAAGACACTATTCTGTTGTCACAAAATTTGGGTGGGATAAAGGCCTCAGTGGCCGGACCAGGACGATGTCCTACATAGATAGTCCTGCTGTCCACTCTTTTCTCATCCCCGCCACACTACCGAGAGAGAGAGAGAGAGAGAGAGAGAGAAATAGAGGGATCAATTAGAGTACACTCAATTTAACAATGCCACGGTGGCCTGTTAAGACAGAGCATTTAAACTTGTCAGGCCTGCTCCATGTCAAGCTTAGGCACTTAACCAAATGGAAGACAGATTTAGAAACACAGAGTCTTAAACACCATGTAAGGCTTCTGTGTAGAGATGACAGTCTTAAAAAGAACTCTACGAATCAAGTCTCGTGTAATACAGAAAGTGTAAGCATATGAACAGCAGTTACACAGCGAGGCTTTACTGATTTACATAAAATAATTATGATTACTATAGAGGTTCTCCAGTACTATGCAAAGTCAAAGACCACCCTTTCATTTATTTGATTTTCAGTCAAAACACCCATTAAGTACGTTAAAATGTTTTTTTGTCAGAAAAAAGCAGAAAACATTTAACAAAAAAATTACACAAAAGCCTCCAACACTACATATGTTAAATTCTTCAGTATTTAATTTGTTCACTTCAGGGCCCCCTACTGCCACTTAAACTCTTTCATCCTTCCATCTTAAAATCAACAAGTTACAGCTGTGTCTTTCAAACAGAATCTTATCCCAAATGTGTAACTTTCCCCTCAAGGAGATACTGACATTCACACAAGCAGTTCCCAAAACACTGCCTTGCAAATTTGTCATATGCATCTAAAATGGCCAAAGCAGATATTTCTGAGATTAGATATAAGACAATGCACTTGCATAAGGAAGGGTTTATAAATAAGGTGAACTGGAGTTCAAAAAAATCATTAAAAGATAAAGAGGGAATTGGACTCCTACAAGCACACAAGGCTTAAAGTACCACCAGAATGAAATAAAGTCAAAAGGGTGGACACCAAATAATTGCTGTAAAAAAAGTACTGTAATTTGCTGCTGAATATACATTTTCAGCTTGCTTTTCCTGATGCTGAAAAATTTGTAATTTGTACGCAATGGCAGTTTGTCTAAAAAACAAGTTTGCACAATACGTAAAAAACATTCACTGTTAGTTCTTGAAAGCTCCTGGAAATTTTACAGAAGTGTTAAACAAACAAAAAAAAAATCCAAACTCTTACAAAAACTTCTTATAACATATTAAGCCAAGTATGACAAAGGTCAGATGGGATAATCTAACCAGCTGAATTTCAACACCAGCACATCATGCTGGAGAAGTGTGATGATTAGCCAGCTTTAAGAACAGAAAGCACTGTAATGAGAAGCTTTATGGCTCAAGTTATCTAGGAGAGCAGACACACTGCTGTTTCTTCAGGTTCTGTGATAGAAAGTATGTGTGTGCGCTCATGTGCTTGGTGGGGTCACTGGTCAAACCAGGTCTGCCCATTTACTTCCAGAATAAGGAATGCAGGTGAAATCAACCTGAAAAGAACAATGAATGAGTCAGAGAAGTATATGGGTGCGGAGAGGGAGGAGAAACATATGCCTCACGCAGACACAATGACAGACGGAAGGAAGAAGCCAGATCCCAGCGAGTGTTTCCTTCCTCCTCAGCTCCAACAGTGGATTTGCTATATTATGGTTTGTCACAAACATGGTGGCCACTGTGTGTGTACAGGCTCTACCACAACCCCCCATCCTCCAATGCATGCAAGTCTATGATAAACCAGTGAGTGCCCAGATTATGCCCCCAACACGCACATACACACAGCACTTGCTCTCAGCGCCTCGACCTCACTGAAGACAACATAAGCTGTCAAAGTGTCTCAGGAGGCTCTCAGCCACTCTCTTCCTTCCCCCAATCCACCACCCCACTGCTCATCTTTGTAGCGTTCTTGGAGAAAGTAGAAGTGGCAGTGCTATTACTGCCACTGTGAATAATTCAGACAGCATGGAGAAGGGATCTTAGGGTCTAATGCACAGCATGCACTGTTTGGTGCGCTGGAATGTGTGTGCGGCCTTCAGAAGCTTTCCCCATCGGTAGAGCTACAGCCATTTCTTCCAGCACTTCCCTCACTCAGGACGGCTGCGGAAGGCATCGGTCCCCAGGCTAAGGGCTGTTCCTGCCTGCCTGGTCACATGTGGAATTACATAAATATCCAAGTAGGACACCACAATTTCAGCACCTGAATATTATTAGACCAAAATGGTCAAAACTGACACTTTCTGAAATTCATTCTCCATTCCATTTTTATGATCAAATATATTTTGACACTTTGTTGTCGGCCTAACAATTTATAAATCATTTCAGTGTTAATCAGAATTAAAAATAAACAGGCTCTCTCCTTAGCTCTCCTGTTGCAGTGAAACAGTGCCAGCAACTCATTTTAGGCAACATTTTTTAAACAGTTTTTTTCTTGTGTCCTTGGTAACTCAGAGTGATGCCCTATTGAAAGAACTGACTTTTGCATTTCTCCTAGTACCTTGTAGTTGTTTCAGTCAAAAGAATGAATAAAAAGCTAAATAAATGTTTGTGCAGTAGTACAAAAAAAAAAAACAAAAACAAAAAACCAAACAAAACACCTACACAAAAGAAATTCACAGCCTGTGCGATTCATACAGTGTTCTGGGACATACGAGATCAGACATTCAAAAAATGATATACATTTGGATAAAGAACATACATTTTGGCCAAGAATTTGTATGAATAGAACCATACGGCTGAAGTAGCTAAACGCACATCTGCTGATCAGATACCACACTGAAGTTGCCCCCACATGTCTGTCCTCCCTAAGTGACACACCTTCACATAGCCCTCATGTCTTCCACCTTCACATACCCCTCATGTCTTCCAAGAACTCAGGCAGAACGCATCAGTATGCAAGATCAGGTGGAGATAACACTCTCCATCAGGGCTTGTGAGACAACCGCCTCTCCACGTACTGATATCGACTCCCAACTCTGCGGAAGCCACAGCTTACGTGTAATTTCTTTCACTTCTCTGTCTCTGTCTTCTGATTTCCCATGGGACCTGCTCTGGTTTCAGGTTCTTTGGTAAACATTCGTATAACGATGTCAGCGCCGTCTGGATGTTCCAGCTCTCCTGTTGGGAAGAGCCCAAGGTTACATAAGGCTCTGCAGAGCGTGACTTCTCGTCACACATGTTGGCGTGTGGCTGCGGGCTCCTCTAGGTGCTGGGATGGAGCAGGCCGGATGGAGCAGAAGGGCCAGAGGGGAGAGGGAGGGGCTGTTGTGAGAAGAGAGGAAACAGGAGCAGGTGCCAAAGCTTAAGGGAAAGGTCCACCTCCAAACGCCACTGTCTGAGTCACAGGACAGAGGGAGTTCAGACGCAGAGCAAAATCCTGTTTCCATCAGCAATAAAATGTCTAAAATGTTCTAGCGTACTCATCAAAAAATATTTTATAAACAGCATCACATCCTTTTTGAGTCAAAAGCCAAATTCATTATAGTCAATCAGTGCATAGAACATTTACTTGGATGATATTCAGGATTTTTCTTCGGACATCCATCATCCATTACTCACTATGGCAAGAATGTACTTCAAATATGCAGTTACGCCATGTGGTGCACCTCAAAGTCATGTCTCTCTAGCTGAAAAGCCTGACACTGGCAAAACCCTACGGTAAGTACATAAGTAGTGATGATAAAAGTGGAGCAGTGTTTTCACATTTGAGCCATGAAAGTGATTATAAACAAAAAAAGAAAGAGTCAACACTAACAGTATTTACATTTGTTTATGTTGTGTGGCTAGCATGCGTCTAATTATGGTCTAAAACACCCAGTGCTGAAGGGAGGGGTGTTTACTGATAGGAAGGAGCACCCTCCTAGTGGGGCTGCCCCATGCAGACCACTCCACAAAGCTCTTTTTGTTGAGCTGCTCTCCCCTACTAATGCTTGTCCTTCAGCACACAACATGCTCACACCATGTTCAAGTGTTCAAGACTCATTCTGTTTACAGTGCAGCAACAAGGAAGCTGCATTCCACTCACAGGTTCAAAGAAAAAAAACAAAAAAAAAAAACAAAACACACTTCAGCCAGAGACTGATCAAAACCAACTGTAGTGCGACAGGTATCTGAACACTGAGGATTTAACGTTTTAAGAACTCTATCCAAAGCCCATTCCTCAGCTGTCAGTTAAACATGTTAAAGTTCAGTTTCAAAATGAGTGCAAACATTCTCCAGAGTGCTGAGCTGGAAATCGTGAGTCCATGAACTTTCCCTTATTTTTTTTTTAAAACTGAACCAGCGTTCCTTCTCACTATCTCTGCAGCCCCCCTCTTCCCTCTTGCTTTCCCGTCTCTCTTCGGGAGTCATTAACCGCAAGACCACTGTTGTACCAGCGCTGCCTCAAGGTTACAGCTCCACTAGGTAAACATACACACAGATCTCTGTATAAATCACCTTCGCTGAGCAACGCCACACACAACTTTAAAGGCTGCTCTATTTTGGAAGCCGTTCAGAGTAGACCCGGATAGTTAAGAGAATATAAATCACAAGCCAAAGAAATTGCATATGTGCAAAGGAAGGAAGAAAGCCCCAGAGGCAGGGAAGGCCGATAAGAATAGCAGCATTGAATGGCCATTGATTTTTGAAGGGAATTCAGCGTTAAATATAATGAAGGTCAGACACAGGGCCCGATTCATTTTCGCGCTGTTACGTGATTGTAATACTCATTTTCGCAAAGCTCGTGTTCCAAGGCCAAACAATAGAGGAGCTAATGTAAGGACAAATAGAATTGACAGAATTATATTTGCCATGGTGTCAGAAGTCGCACTACGCAGCTCAACCTCAATAATTGGAGGGGGAAATGGAAGGGCTACATGTCGGTAGACTCCTGCTGGACAGAAATGCATTAGCGTGTACAGGAGAGGAAGGATCAATACCACAAACACAGTTTACTCAATCGAAACGAGATCCAATTGCTACAGAATAAACACGGCATTGAAGAATCAAGTGAACAGCAGTATTATAATATTAGATTACGCGCTAAAGAAATTATGTCCACATAATAAAAAGGGCAATGGTAACGTAGCAATGTTATTTAAGTAGAATAAAGCAGCAT